AGCACTCCAGCGGGGTACCACCCGATGATGTACGTCTTCCCTCATCCTCCACCTCCCGCGCACACTCACCAAGCTCCTTCCGCTGCCGCTGCACTTCCCACTCCGATTTCTACTGGGGCTCAGGCGGGTGTTGCGAACCCGGGTGCGAGTGTTCCGCCAGTCCTTCGTCCTGGGGCACGAGAGGGGCATACGCAGGAAACGCAGGAAGGGCATGCGGCCGTGGAGGGTGGTGCTGGTGGTGTTAGTGGTGGTGGATTGCACCTCCCACCAGGTCAGCCGAGGCAGTCGCCGCCGATACCCGGTGCGTTTGCTTCGTGAGTAGTATTGGGGAGTTGATATGCTATCGTCTTCAAATCGTTTGCAATCGAACACACCCGCCATCGTTTCGTATACCCCTCTAGCCTGCTCTTTCCATCCCTACCTACGTTCCCAGTCCCACATCGATGATTCCGACTTCAACTTGGACATGATCTCCATTCCCAGACGCTCAGTTGCCCGGCGCTCAACTCTCACTCTAGCCTCGATCTTACGGATGGCCCGTTGTGTTCGGTGGAGGCGGAGGTGGGGGTGGGGGTTACAGAGGTAGGTACATCCAAGGAGTGGGTGTTGATAGAGTTGTATTTGGTCGACACGGACACTTCAGGATTCAGAAGAGGATTGGCACTAGGGGCGGCGTCGATTTCTAATTATGAGCCATCGTTGCCTCCTGCGCCTGAATGCTCGTTCCCGGATTCGACGTCGAATAGTAGTAATGAGGCAATGTCGGTAGTTGAACTTGATTTGTGCTGAATGCGAGACGATGAGATGGGTCCAGGACGTCGAATCTGAGAATGGGATTGCGCATGCGAGCGGCGGGATGATCGGCGAGAGCTGAAGAGGTGGGGGAGGAGGTGGGGGAGGAAGACGGGTGCGTTGATGTTAGTGTCGTTGTCGATGGTTGGGTCCTGGTTAACGGTTACATGCACATATAGAGGCGACGTTCGAGCACTACCGGCGCGTGTTCAGGGATGGAGATGAAGAGCAGAGGAAATATGAGAACGTGTATGAATTTATTAAGGACTTGTATAAGGGGAAGAACGTGGAGGCTGTGGTGGATGTGTGGTGCGATGCCCCGGTGAAGAAGGTGTGGAGAGAGTATGCGGACGCGGGGGGTGGATGGGAAATGGGGTGGGATGGCGTAATGGTTCGCAATGGGTGAGTCATTTTCTTGTTCGTTCGTGTGGATTTAGGTTTTAACCCGCTCATTCGCGTGTCTAGGCGTGCATCCGTGACCTTCATTTTCTTGGATATTTTCTTTCTTCAAGATACTAAATTCTATTTCATTCTGCCAGGCACGATGCGAAGAAGTACAACGACCGCGTAGAAAATGGCATGTGCGTCTCCTCCTCCCCGTCTTACACATCATTGGCCTTTTCAAAAATCAGATAGGGCTTATGAATTTTTTGAAGCGCCCAAGCAATTCCCATTAAATCTGTTCTGACCATCTCACGTTTCGAAACAGGAAGCCGAGTGAGCGGCTGGGATCTACTGGCTCGCACTTCGACTGCGACACTGGTTAAACATTTAGCGCCCAGAAATACTTGACCGGTGATAGGCGCCGAGCTTCGCTGCCAAGCTTTATTGCCCACTATCCTTGAGAAGGCCGTCTAAAACTAGAAGAGACTCTTTGAGTATTCTCCCGCGACATTCAGTTGAACTTGGCCCTGGCACCCGTCTCCTTCTCTCTCCTTCGCGGACCGAGTGGATATAAATATTTCTAGTACACTTCGTGTTCTCGCAGGCAACGTATCCCGGCAGGCACCTCGACTATGTGTCAGAGATAGTTTCCTTGAGTCGTGGACCGTGTGCGTCCCCCATACGACCCTTCTCAGGATCCATTTCGAACTGGTAGCACCTGGAATTTCGGATAGGCACATGCTTAATGTCCAACTCTCAGGCTGGAATGGAGATCGATAATCGTAGCAATCACAAACCAGAATATACGTAAAAAGTGCATGGAATCAACTATACAATATGGAGTCTCAATTCAATGGGAAGCAACTGTGATGACCATGACCGTGGTAGAACGAGGCATCTGGTTTAACTCTGCAACTTCTAATCCACGATCCTCTTCCCACCTGCGCGTATTCTTTCCGTTTAGGCGACGAAAATGCAACGGAAAGAGCTGTACTGATCGTTGTGGGGGACGGTGTTGTGCCTCCCGGCCTGGAAGGTGTCAGTAGTTCCAGAGCACCCAGCATTGCTATCGTCGGAACGATGTTAGACAACGCGATAGGAAATCAAGTCTAGGGAGAGGCATACACAGAGAACATGCACTGGGCACCTCCAACGATGGAGATGGAACTGACTATGTCGTTCCAGAAGGTGTTGCTGCCCGTGAAGCTGACTGTAAAATTGGGAGAGAGGATGTCAGCACCGGATTTAATTCACGACAACAGAGGAACAGAATTATGGGACAAGGACGTCGACGTACCACACTCGTTAGGATCAGCCTGGTAGGTGGTGCAGGAACCAACGAAATTGGCATCGCTACACATAGTGCCCCAGTCAAAGGCGTTGACCGACTGGGAGGAGACGGCAGCGACGACGACGGCAAGCAAAGTATTGATGAACTTCATTGTTGTGGGTTGTGGTAGGCGTTGGATAACAGAGGTCGAAAGAGCTTGAAATGCAGTGAATTTTGCGAACAGATTTGAGAGGAAAGAGAAGACAACTTTACTGTTCACTACAGGAATGCTTTTCGATGTGTTATGCGTCTTTCATTCATCGTTTTTATAGCCTCGACGACGCTTGTCACATGAGGTCTGAACTGGATCGTAGAAGTGTTAACATCCAACTTAACTCTTCGATCTCCGAGGGCGGTCCGCTCACAATGCTTGCCGCCCAAGGCATCCCGTAAAACCAGGAAAGTTCGGGCTCACGCGGACACGAAACACGTTCGCTAGTCGACATTGACTGGGTTCGCATCAACGTTTTCTGCGGGTCTCGAAACTTTAGTCGCATTCGAACGTCAGGCGAGCGTATACTGGACAGCAGTTCTCTACTCGAACCCCGTGCCGAACCGATGTAGTGAAATAAATAGGTTTTATTGGACAAAGGCGCCTTCCCAATGGGCCTCGCCTGCACGAGCTAACTCCACCTCTAATATCCTTCCCTGCTGATGATTCAATACTCCACACTATATGTTCTTCGTATCATCGAAAATACGCCTAGCCATCTCAATATGCTTCACATTTCTCAAGCCCCCGCACAACTGGATGGCAGTAGACAACTTGAACAGGAGGAAATCCCGCCTGTCGAATGTCACCGTAGCTGCAACCGGATCGTCTGCTACCTAAAATTATCCTACTGGCGCCATGCGCTTCGACGGAAAGAAGACGGGCTTAGATGACCTTAACATTGATCCCGGAATTATCGGATGGAGCATGGCGCAGTGTCCTTTCCTCCAAATGTCAAAGCCTTGTTGAACGGCTTCTTTCGAAGAGCGTGGAACGAGAGGAAGTCTAGGCTCTCAACGCAGAGAAATCAGTCCAGACGTCTTTGACTGTGGTATCTAATATTATCGAAGCTCGAAATTACCAAGTTTCGGGAATGAAACCTGCTGGAGGAGGCCACTGCTAGATTTCAGGTACTCGGCGTTTCGAGGACTCGGATATTAGACAAGTAAGTGACAAGAGACCGGTCATGCGAGTTCGTCTAAAAGACGGATTTGTCCATTTTGAAATTCGGCGGTGCGATAGCGGCGAAGTTGCACGGTAGAAAGGCGTAAACGAGAAAGAGAAGAGCAAGATGCCTACCACCTAATATACGGCCCAGCGAACGTTCACTGAAAGCGTCTATTTTGAGTTCGGTGAGAAGCGTGATGCTATAGTGTAATGCCGTAAAAAGATGGAAAATAGCTAGCTTGGTTCACGAGCCTTTGTGCTCTTCAACGTCTCCTGGAATATTGCAAAGGGTATCCAGATTATTTCGCCGTCCCGTCCTGGTACAACAAGAAGAACATGCAAGTTTACTCGCCACGGTGCGGAAATATTGAAAGCCACGAAAAGTGTCGCACTTGCGGAGTTTTCCTTGCAAAGAAGCCATCGGGCAATTGAGGGTGCACCCTCTTTCGCCCATGATCGGAGCTGCCTGATTGGTGTTCTTCCAAGAATAAGCAGAACCTAAATAAAAATGTTCGAGGTACGGTGTATGCTTATCCAGTACGCCGGACCCATGATCATAGAAGTCGATGAACGAGGGCCGATTAAAGGCTGAACATTTGAACGCTGAACGTGCGGCCAGTAGTTCCAAGGCACCTCCAGAAGGAAATGCTGCCGAGCAAATTCTGGGCAAACCCCCGAAGAATGTCGGTGGGTGAAGGTAAATTCTACGCCACCCAAGAATGAATATTCCCAACAATTATAACAGAATTGTTCTTGTAGACTGAAGTTGTTTGGAACACAGAGGTCCGTGACAGAAGCGAGCAATTTCAACATGGCCGCGTTGTGCCGCGTTGTGGGTCCAACTTTAGCAGATAAGATAAGTGCGAGATTAGATGCGAATTTTGAACTCCGTTCTTTTCGACTGGCACCATCCCCTCAGTTCCATCGACACATCTACGATATCGCCCAGACTATTCTCAGATGCAGCGTCTCCCGAACTCCTCAACCTCTACTCCAACATGGTCGTCCTCGCGCTGTCGCTAGAGCCGCACGGACCGCCTCACTACTCAGGTCCTCGCCCACCTCCGGGAAAGCTCGAAGTCCCTTCAGAACGTCACTCCACGTTTTCCAGATAACTTGCGCGGCTTCGACAGCGCTTCCAGCGCGTACGCTCGATCGTCGGCCTTGAAGCGGCTGTATGCCCCACCAGGCGGATAGACAACCCTCCAACTGCTCTTCGGGTGTTTGAGGGGAAACAGTGAGAAGGTCGGGAACAAGACTAGTATGCTGCCGACGTGTAAGAGATGAAGCCTCTATGAGGAGCTTGGTACGTTGGCTTCGCAAGATGTAAGGGGTCCGGAGCTGACGAATTGTCTAGGCTTTTGCTCAAAGAAGAGCCTGAGGCTTGAACGTTTGTCTATTCATATCACTCTTCGTCACCAAAAGCTGATGAAGATTCACCCCTCAGATTGATAGGACGGAAGATTAACGAACCGTACACCTCTACCGCCGATTTCTGTATCGTACCTCACACTGCCGTCGAAAAACACGTCTCTCATTGTTCTGAGGAAAAATTCCTGTTCAAGAAGTGTGCTGAGGTACACGTCCCTGGAGATGTTTAAAGATGGACGCGTTATCCGATAGCTTCTTCGCGAACGTTTGAAAGTGTGTTCACACCTTTTCTCTGATCCAAGACCTGCTTCGTGACGTGGAGACCTGCCTCGGGTCTTCGACTGTCGTCCACGATGGCCTTGGTTAGAGTTCCAAGATCCAACGTCAGCGCAGTAGAAGTCTAGTGTCAGTTCGCCGTTGATCTTGGATCTCCATTATGCCAGCCTGTTCATAGCAGTGGCGGCTTTCCTGATCGCCGACTCCCCGAACGACACCACATAGCTCGGATTGGGCTCATCTAACCTCGACCCATCTTGGCCCCAGCATGCGTTATCACCGGCCGCATTTGATCTAGGTTTGAACCCTCCTTTACTTAATCATTCGAGCGCCTGCAGTGCACCCTTACTGAATTGTGACCTTCTCCCGCAGATTCGAGTCGCGGATTGAACGATTGCAAGACGGGCGGACCCAAATTAGGTTCGTATTCCCTCCTTTATCGCAGGAGTGCCTGCCGTGCATCCACACTGAATTAAAAGTTCCTCCCTAGATTCGAATCAGAAGCCTTGTACTCGCATCTCTTTCAATTCTCAGCCGCGAAAAAATCTTGTCTGCCACGAGTCCACGCTTCTACCTGCTGACAGTGCGTCAAGTTATCGTCGTCATGCATCCTCCTGGGTCTTTGATTAGGTTTTACCATCCAACCCTCGCGTCGCCCACCCTCAACGCAGGATAAATGATCAACTCAACGTCCGCACCGTGCTCGACCTAGGGATGCCATCCTTCTTCCATGATATGCGTCTGGAAGTCTGTGCTCACCTGGTCGTTTAAGTTACGAGCTTCGTATTCGAGTCAGCCATGACTCTCACAGCGAAAGATCTCTGGAGTCACTTCGAACCCAGGATTGCGGTGCTCTTCAGCAGGGCCAGTTGCGGAGTCCGCTGCTCGCCGCTCGGAGCGTCATTGTCAATGCATAGGGCATTGTGTGGGGAATGACGGCTTCGAGGACAGTGTTCATGGGTCAAACATGCATGATTCATTCGAAGAAGACAAGAAGGATTCGGGTAAGCAGGCTTCCTTCGTGTCTCCATCTCTCGCGATTAAGCCAAAATTGGTTTCTTGCCTAGCGAACCACTCATTGTTCCTTCACTCTGCCCAGCGTCCACCCCCATAGAACCATCGAGTGGCTACGAAGCTCGAATTATTTTAAAATCCAACTAGCTACGGTGCTCTTCGCTTCAACACCCAATGTTCAACTCTAGCACCGCCTCTCGAGCGCGTAACACACCCGGAATGACCGCCACCACCTTGTGACGCGATCGAAGACCTTCCCCAGGTGCAAGAATAATTACATCCAGTACTGCATTCAACCTTTCCTTGAGTTGCTTAAGCTTAGGGCATGACGAGGCTACATTGGAGCGTTCGCCGTACCTGTATCTCAGGGGAAAAGGCGTTTAAAGCTTGCCCAAATGCAACGTTATTTTCGTATAATCTTCTCAACCACACTCTAGGTGTGATTCGAGTCGCTCAGAAGATATCGTAGTGAAGTCCTTAGTAGTCAGTTAGGCGGGGAAATTGGCTTTGGTCCGAAGGACGGAGAAAATACGTCAGATTTGCCTCCATTTATTTTGACCACAATCAGGTTTTGCACGAATTTGTGACGCCGCTTCTTATCCTCCTCTCTGCACTTTTTTTGAAGTCTTCCACGTAGGGTGTATTTTAGACGTACTCCAAATACACAAAAAATAGGGTGTTCGATCACAGTCCCTTGGAGGTAGGCTACACCTAAACGACCCTCCTCATCATCCCATCCCTCGACCCACGCCTTTGGTTGAAGCCCCATTGGGCGCCGAAGCTTCCAGCTGTTGAGACAGTTGGTGAGAGCTGACCAGTTTCCTTGCGGTTCGCCGAATCTAAACAATCAAGGGCTTCATGGTGTTAGTCCTTCCCAGCATTGGGCGCCGAAGCTTCCAAGCCGTCAGTCGCCTGCATGGTTGGTGTGCTGGGCCAATGCCATTGACGGGGGCAGCACATGTAGGTGCTAAGTACCCCTAACGAGATTGGATGGTTTGGAAGTGAAATGTTGAAACGAGTGACTCTGCCTTCCACTATGCCTTCCGCCCTCTGATACAACCCCACCCGCTTTCCTCCCCCATTTCCCAAACCCTAAGGCACGCATCCTGTAGCATCCCCCTACCATGCGAAGGCGGTCGAATATCTAGTGTTTCTCCCCAAGGGGTGTAGCCGGATCATAGGCAACACGGCTGATGATCGGAGACTAGCCTCCTCCCTCCATGGGTTGCCTTCCATGACTAGGTTGCGCCCCCGAAAGGTCTGCGCGAAGCAGAGCAAGACGGTACACGGGCTGCCTGTCAAGTAGGGCCATCAGTTGCGCTTTGAGGTTGTTGTAAACAAGGTCTTCGGGCCTCCAACAAAGCGATTGGGATACAACCACGCCGAAGTCGCGATCTTCTCCGATAAATAAGAAAAGGTGTTGGTTTAATGAATAGATAAGGAATCAGGCAATGAGTGGGGCCCGATGGAGGACGATGCCGATTAATGAGAGGAGTTCGGTAGTGTAGAGCGCGGCCATGGTGGGGGCGACGAATTCCCACGGCCGGATGGTGATGGTTCAAAATCAAGAAGCGTCACGCCGCTTCTTATCCTCCTCTCTGCCTCTTCCTAATGAAAAACAAGATTTTTGCTGCACCAACTCTGTACAACTCTGTACGTCGTTCACTTCTATTACTCAATCCGGCTTTCGCTGGCGGCTTATTGCTCGGTTTCAGTGAAGGATATTCTCCTTCGTCTCTACGACACCTTCAGGAAGGGTACAGAAGTAACGCCCTCTTCGAGTCGCACACCATAGGCCTCATTAATGTGCTTATGCACCGTCTGTGGCAGGGATGGGACCACTCGATACCCCGCCGTCCCTCCAAAAGGCAGTCTCTCGTGCTACTCCTGTCTGGAACTCAAGAACCTCGAAGCCCAGATTGCCGACACCAAGGCCTTTCTTAATCACCTTGAAGCACATCTCAGCCTCCTGAAGTCCAACCACAATCACACGCACGGCTATTTCACCCATCGACTCCCTCCCGAAGTCGCCTCCAACATCTTCGTGCTCGCCGTCTCAGGCCCGGAAACTTCCCGGAGCGAGCACCTGAGCCCTCTAACCCTCGGTGCCGTGTCCAGGAGGTGGCGCCAGATTGCGTGGTCGACACCTAGATTATGGACGTACGTCCCCGTCAGGCTCAACAGGTTCGAGGTATCGTTCCACCTCCCGAAGGAACTTCTTCTGCAGTGGATAGGACGGACGGGCCAACTTCCCCTCTCAATTTGCATGCTCTACAACGAGGCAGACGCAGACCCCACCCAGCACACCGAAAACTTCACGAACGTCATCGAAATTATCAACGAATACTCTCTACGCTGGGAGACACTGAACATCATGATGCCGTTCTCACTATACCCTCGTCTCCGGTCCAAATGCGACAAGGTGCCGCTCTTGAAACACCTAATCATGCGGCTGCCCTTGAGGATCGATGACGATGCATTGCTATACAAAGGAGAAATCCTCGACGTCTGCACTGTTCCTCCTCTTCCTCAAACCGTCATGATAGAAGGGTTTCCACTGGCTTCAATCCGCATAGATTGGTCCAACGTAACGACCCTGCAATTAGCCGACAGTTCCGTCATTGATTGTCAGCGCCTCTTCCAGCAGGCTCCTCAACTATCTCAATGCTCGATCGATATTATTGGCGGCGTGAATGCCCTCCGTCTTGACAGCTCCATCGTCCTTCCTTGCCTAACGAAATTGAATATTAGCCTTTTCATTGGTGAAGCGACAGCAAAAGATCTTCTCGACAGCATTACCCTTCCAGCCTTGAAGGACCTTGAATACCATTTTTACTCGATCGATAATATGGCTCTGGCCGCCCTGCTCAACCGCTCATCATGCCCTCTCGCCTCTCTTCATCTCAAATGCTGGCTGGACCGCATGCCATTGGGTCAAAGCCTACTTCAGACATTGCGAGCTAGTCCGAGCCTCGAAAACCTTTGTCTCGATCTGATTCCTTTACCGCAGGATTTTTTCGAGTCTCTTTCTGATCCTCCCAGTGACAGTGTCTCTAACCAAGGCATATTACTCCCCCGGCTTCAATCTTTCTCATATAGCGGCGAATTAACGTTTGACTGGTCGTCCTTCGTTAAATGCATCGACTCAAGATTGACTATCCGAGGAGATGACGGAGGGCCCTTACTTCGCTCGATCGACCTCTGCTCTCAGACCATCATCAGGCAAGAGTCAAATCTGACGTCGTACTACATCAGCGAGCTGGCAACTGCCGACCTTTGCCGCTTGCTCAAGAGCGGGATAAGCATAAAAATCGCTAATGGCCCGTGGGATATGCTCCAGTACTCGATGTCATTCCACAAGAAGTCCTGGTTGAAGAAGCGATAGATGTGGGTTCTGGATGACAAAATACTGCCTGTGTAGATAGATCATACAAGTAATTATAAGAGAGCAGGTCCTGTGCCTACAAGAGTTTACAATGTTGAATGCCCTTACGAGATAACAGTCCTGATAATCCGAATAAACTGCGACAAGTAGTGAAAATGAGTCTTGAGGGAAGCTATGCCAAACTAAGAGTTTGATGACACAGCCAACTAGCACCCAGTGTAAGGTTCAATCTAACTAGTGAACCATGTCATTGGAGATCATGAAACTGTTATCGCACCATCAAAAACTACACCGTCAGGCTCTGGGAAGGCTTAATGAGACGAAGGATTGGTTTCATATGTACTTCATTCAGATGGGATCCGTTCAAGTCAACAAAACAACTATGCAAAACTGGAAAATCACAGCGCTCCAACACCGTATATGAAACCAGCCCCAAACGAGCCCCATTTTTCATCGCTGGTACCGTTGCTGGCACTGGAGGCTGCCCTTCACATTCGTAGTCGCATTCGAACTGGCACCGTCCTCCGGAGGCTGAGCCCTGAGGCCTAGGGCCTAGCACTAGCAGCGATCTGGTCCGCCGTGTGCAGCATCGTCTCTGCAGGTGCCATCGAGATGTGGATGTGCTACTCGGCAAAGAGTGAGAGCATGAGCATATAGTTGTCGGCTGCGCTCGTTAGCTGGAGCTCCGATAGTATGTGAGTCCTGCATATAAGTTCGATTGGTCGGCCTTGATCGTACGGAGAGAAGACGAAAAGAACGTACCTCACAACCAGAAAGTCCTTCACCGAAGACGCTGTCGACGCCGCCCCGACCGTCTTGAACGTTTTGGCCTGACCTTCTCCTCGTTCGTGTTGACAATGCCGAGAAACAAGATGGAGCTCCTTTTTTTGGTTGAAGTTCGGAGCCAATCTTGACGAAGAAGTTTAGTTGGTGGCTGAAGTTCGTCTCGGGGCCAGAAGGGCACGAGTGGATAGTGCTTTAATGTTCGAGATGGGCGAGTGTCTGGGCGAGATGGGCGAGATGGGCGAGATGGGCGAGATGGGCGAGATGGGCGAGATGGGCGAGATGGGCGAGATGGGCGAGATGGGCGAGATGGGCATGAATGGAGGATGATCCAGACGCGGTAGGTGGAGAAGTGGCCATAGGTACGAGAATGGGCGATAATTCGGGTGAATGTCTGAGGAAAACGCGAATGCAGTGAGTATATGCGCATATGTGAAGGTGAAGTTCATTCCTTGTGACGGCGACCTGCAAGAGAATGAGATAATAGTCAGGCAAAGTGCGGAGGAACGGTAAGGACGGACGTTACCCTTATCATCTCGCAGAGCACACCAATTTTCGTCTTCTGCGTTTTCAACTGGTTTTCGCGCACATCGGCTATCTAGGCTCACAATAGCACTATCCAAGTCCCATCCAGTTAGCACTGACACCAAAAGATTGGGGAAAAAATGATGAACATACAGGGAACAATTTTCTGGCTTTCTGCTTCTTCTCCACCAATTCTCGCTTTGCCGAAATGCAACCAGGAACTCCAGCCCAAAGAAGACCTTTAGTTGGGTAGCCTGTATCGGCGGCGGCGTTTCCCCACTCCCTAGCCCGACCTCGACAACACCGAACCCCCCAAACGACTCCAAGGTTCCACCGGCGAGCATGTCGTACAGTTGCTTCATCCTCGACTAGGAATTGGCGACGTCGATGGCGTACGTGTGGGGGATAACAGCGATGCCGATTAGCACTTCCTCTACGCCCGTCGTTCTTAGAGGACACTTCTCCTTTGTTGGCGTTGCTGCTGGCTCGAGGGGCGAAGTTCTCCCCAATAGCACTGCGACGTTCGCCGACGACAGTTGGCCTTGCTCCGAAGTCCGGATCGAAAGAGCTCGTGGAGCTCAAGGTCTGTGGCAAGGAGGGCTACTAGCTCGTGCCTATTGTCCATCGCAAGCTGGTGGAGGTCCCGTATGGCGGTGAGAATCCACGGGGGTTCATTGGACGTGAAATAATGGCCGCCATCGTTGGCGTCCGGAGAGGTCGAGAGACTGGAGACGTAGGCCAGGTGCGCCACGTATTACTTGAACGTACCCTCGAATCTTCGTCGTTCGTCAGGTTTTGGCTCTTCTGAAAGGTGTTGAAACTCTGTTCGAGTTCGGCCTCATCAGGGTCTGATATCATAAAATTCGCGTAGAAATACTTACCGGTTTGCTGTAGCAGGTCGAGAGAGAAAATGAAAGGGAATTTTTGGAGGCCCGTGTTCAGGAGTTATGGGTCCAGACAATAGTAAGCGGATTCGCCGTTGTTTCTCAACGTTTCGGATATGGAGGGCAAGCGCCACCAAACAAAGGGCTTCATCGGCCCGGGCCGCCAGGGACTGGAAATCCCCTTCCTTTCTTCCTTACTTCCATGCCACACCAGAGCTCGAACCAATCTCGCTGTGACTAATTCCGCAAGCGATAAGCTAGGTAATCTCATTCCTCTGGAAGTCGCCTAAGCATCTGACCGAGACACCAAATACCAGAAGTCCAAGCCTCGACCGGAACGCCCTACAAACTGTTCAAATCAAGATGCCAACCTGCACCTCTTGCAGCACAACGTCTCTCGAAACTGCGGAAGATATACCGACATGCACAAAGGACATCGACACTTGTGCACCGTGCGCGAAGCTCAAGGACCTCCGGAAAGAGATTGCTGCGGCCAAAGCGCATCTCGCAGAGTTACTTGGACGGATTCCACCCCTTCGTTATGCTATGAATCACGCCCACGACCCCCTCGAGAACCGACTTCCTCCAGAGATAATTTCGCGTATATTCGTGTTCTATGCGAGCTATTTCGACTTCTATAGCATGGAGCATGACGTTCTGTTGCCCCGCCCAGACAACTTGCCGGTCACACTCGGAGCCGTCTGCAAGAGATGGCGCGAAATTGCCTGGGCAACGCCGAGTTTGTGGACCACTGTGGACGTGCACCTTGACCCCAGAAGCATGACGCAAGAGCGATCGCAGCTTTTGAAAGAGTGGCTCGAGCGTTCAAGAAGCCTCCCTCTCACCCTCGTCATACGCTCCGAATCATCTCTATCCACCTGTGTCGGTACTCCTGGAGGGCTCAATATCTTGTCTATAGTCGATTCCATCAACTCTCATTCGAGTCGCTGGTCCAGTCTTGCCATACATGCACCCTCTTCTGTGGCATCGCGCCTTCATCTTAAAATAACTATTCGACCAAACGCCGCAGACGCTGCAGATAATTCAATGTCCTCCTCAATGACCGACATTCTTCCTTCCCCAGAGCAGGTTTCTCTTCGAGGCTTACGATTTCGCACCGTTAGACTCGACTGGTCTAACGTCATCCACGTTGAACTTTCCGATTTGTTTGTGGACGAATGCCTCTGCCTCCTTTGTGAAGCAACTAAACCTGTGTCTTGCAATCTTCGAATTACTCAAGGCAGCGATGGACACATAGTCCCTCAACACGAAATCCTTCACATAAAGATTGGATCTTTGGAGATTGCTTTCTCCGACGCCGAGCTGTTGGGCTCCTTCTTTTCTAGGATTAACCTCCCTGCGTTAAACTACCTCGAATGCGACGCAAGCGATTTTGGTCATGGCGACCAAGATACTATCAACGCAATCGAAGCATTTCTTTCCCGTTCAGTATGCCCTCTCCAGCACCTGCAATTATGTGAGCTGAGGGCTCCTAACGCGGACATCATTCAGCTACTCAAGCTACTCTCCAAGCTTGAATCCTTATATTTATTTAATACCGCCGTAACGGACGAGCTCCTCGACTTCATGGTGGAGACGAATACGACGCCGGAAGAGGACAACCATTTTCTCCCCTGCCTCAAGTCATTCTGCTTCGGAGGTCCACAAACATTTTCCTGGACCTCAATCCGACGCCTCGTCCCGGTTCTTTCGTCGGATGTCAGCGAGGATGGACAGAAAATGCGCCCCTGGAAAGAACTTGAAGTTGGTGTCAGGGTAGATGATCCCGAGACAACATTCATTGATGAAGACACCATCTCACGTATCGATACGCTCGGGAAAGGGAGATTAACTGTGGTGGATATACGGACTGGCGACGATTTTGTAACGATCTCCAGGAAATACCATAATCGCAGGAGCAAGAAACGGCACGCTGCGGCGTAGTAGATACGGCGAGCTTCGCTCATATCTCCCAGAAATTCTAGGGAATATTATCATAAATAACGAAACGAGCGTGTTGTGTACAACTGAGGCGGCAGGCACTTAAAAGACAACGTGAAGAAGAAATTCAACACTTGCTTGTGCCTATTTGAATAGTGTTTGAACCGGCACCATCCTTTCGAAGGTTTAGGCTACATCCCGAGACCAGGAGCGATCTCCGCTGTATGCAACGTCGTCTCCTACGGCTCCTAGATGTGGTCATACTTCTCAGCGAGTAGAGAGAAAATGAGAGTCCGCATGCAGTTGTCGCGCGCAGCGCTCGGTAGTCCGAGTACTCTTCATAGATGGGTTCTAACGTCATATCATGTAGTCAGATTTGATCGAACAACGACGAAAGAGGAGAGCAGCGTACTCCACGACCAAAAAACTCCTCCGTCAAACATGTCGTTAATACCACCTAATCGTCTCATCTAAGCCCTCATACTGCTTGGCGATCTCTAACCTCAGCTGCCGGAGAACCTTCTGCGCTTCCTCCCTCTCGCTTTCGTTCTGGATATCGTTGAAAGCACCAATGCGAAGCCACATGCCGCCTACACGAGCGTAGACGTTGAGCCATAAGTCTTCACAGCCGTTCTCCTTTCTTCGTTGATGTTCGTCACCAAGCGCGACGAAAAGCTGGGTTGGCAGTTGAAGTTCGTTTTCGGAAACAGAGGGCCGCAACTCAGTAGAACTTCAATACTCGTTCTATTTGGCCAGTACAAGTGCGAGGTGGGCTTGATGGAGGCTGATACGGGCGATGTACGTGGAAAAAAGGAAGCGAATTCGTTTATCAAGGATGATCTACGTGAGGATCTGAGGAAAACGCGAAAAAGGTGAATATATGCGCGAATGGAAGACAAGGTGTCGACTTACAGGTTCAGCATCGGCAAATTCACTTCAGATTATTGCGACCTGCGAAAGAAACGACTCTTCAAACGAGGGAATAATCAATCAAAGAGTGAGGGAGAAAGCCCAAGAATCGACCTTACCTCGCGGAGCATGTCGGGCTTCATGATGTGCATCCAGACTGAATCTCTTGAACGTCGGCGACGATGGCCCAGAGTGGAACTGTGTGTGTTATACCAACTAGCGATGAGAAGAAAGACCAAAAGGAAGGAAGGAAAACGTACGTGGACCCTCCTTCACCCTCCTATCGACCAACACGACACCCTGATCAGAAAAGACCTTCCTCTTCCGCTTCTTCTCGCTTCGAATCGGGCCTGACAGCGACCGTCAGATGGGTAACCCTTTCTGCACCGGCGTCGTGCCTCCTAGCTCAGCCTCGACGGCCGCGAACTTCCCAAACACGTCCAGTGCCCTACCGTCGGGCATTTGTGCTGTCTCTTGGTCCGCGATTGGGAGGACGTGTTGTTGCAGGTGCATGAGGCCGAAAATGACGATTTGGGCGATTTGAACCTTCGCGAGGTAGGTCGTTGCTAGTGGCAGCCTCTCCGGGTCAATATCGTGGTAGACGAGGCTGCCGGTGTCGTCGTCGATGTGGCAGCCTTCTCGCGATGAGAAGATGGACCCAACAGTTTTTCAACGTTCGCAACGGCTGTCCGACCTTGCTCTGGAGTCCAACTTGAAGAAGCTTGCGGAACTCAAGGACCGTACCGAAAGAGCACCCTGCTGGATATTCGTTATTAGTCGTGAGCCGATGGACGGATCGTGTGGCCTTCAGAGCCGACAGTCAGCCGCTAGATGGTGACTACTGGCTGTAATCACCGGCGTCCGGGGGGGTCGAGAGTCTGGAGATGTAGGCGAGTGGGAAGGGTACCGGACGCGGAGTCGGAGAGAAGAATGAAGTCCGTGAGATATTCAATTGTTTTGACATGAGGTGAATTTGGAGGAGAGTCGCCCGAACAGGATCTTGTAGAAGCGGAGGGATGGGTGCTGGACGATGAAAAAATAACGTTAGCTTTTGCTTAAATTATGATATGAGAAAAGGGAAAAGAAACATATAAAGGGCAACAGCAAGAACATCATCGAGCTTTCGAGGGCAACGCACGGTCGCCCTCGTCGCAGACATTACTCCACAACTACTAGCCACACACCTGTTTGTACGACGAGGCCATCGCGTTCTTCCTGGAACACGCATACACTCTGCTCAATGCTGAAAGGTGCCGGCAAAGGTGTTCATGAAAACAGATGGACGAGAACAACTAGAGCATATGCGTTGGCAGTTACGAGCTATCTTTAGCAATGGCTTTAATACTTCGTGAGATGAACGAACATACTGCCTTTGCTACGTCCTCTTCCACCTCACTCTCTGCCCCAGGCTCGCTCAATCCAATCCGAATCCGAAGTCCCGCTTACGCCAGGAAAAGTAGGGGATAATCGAATAATTCCGGCATGAATATCGCTACGACTTGAACCGTTTCTTGGGGCCGTTTCGTGTGACACGTATTGTCATTCATCGGGGAGGTTCGACATGGTGGTGAGAGCACTGAGAGGTGTGGTTCGATGTCACGCCAGAATGTGACTGGTATGTATGTCACGAAGCTTTCCCTCAGGTTTTGACTTTTAGCCCCCCGCACGTGATGGATTGCATTATGTAAACATGACTGGTTCGCAAATCGGTTCTGTCCCACGCATCTCTCGGTCGTTCTTCTCCTTCCACCATGATCTCTGCCACCGCCATCGTCAATGAACCCATCGCCATCGCCATCGCCTCCCGCAACACTGCCCGCCATCTACTCCTCATCCACCCCTCTTCTCCCTGCCTGCTTGCCTCTTCGCCTGCGAGTCGCCGCCGCTTCCTTTACTGTGGCCGCCGCCGCCGTGTGGACGGCGACCCTCACCATCCCTTGCTCTTTGCCCAGGATATGTTTCCCTCGAACCTCTGCGCGGTGGCACCGCTGCTTTTTCCATTCCCCTTGCAACCACCACCCCCGTCGTCTACACCTCCAGCGACGCGCTTCTGCCACAACGCCTCTAATCCTCTCGTTTAGTACGACGCGATGGATGCATTTTTTTTGTAAACCTTGTGCTATGCACCTTGAAATATATATTTTACATGGTCCCTCATGATGCCCACTTTCAGTGTTTGTGAGTTTTGACGCGATGAATAGGTTGTCTTAGGTGAAATTTCGAAGGCTACTCGGCCACAAAGATGTCGAAACGAACTGGTTCGCAAAATTCAAGGTGTTATGTAATGGAGATCATCACGTGCGGGGGGCTAAATCTCGCCAACTCTTTCCCTCACTTTGATCCGGAACGTCTACAGTTTACGTTGAACTTTAACAAGGTGAACCCTTCTTTGTCGACCGAGGGGGAAAGTGATTGATCTTTGCGTCATTTATAGAGATGGCCAATTTCGTATGCAATACCTGCAGTGAGGAAGGACCCTTCAACACCGAACACACCAACATTGGCTGTGCACCCTGGAGAAAACGGACCTCGCCGTGCTCTGTATGCCTCAAACTAGAAACCCTGGACAGTCAGATCGCCGAAACACGCGCATTTCTGGAGCATCTGGAAACCCACCGCGCTGCCTTGGAACCCAGCATCAACAATGCGCACGATCCTTTCACGAGCTTACTTCCAACCGAATTGGCGTCGCGGATATTTCGCTTCTGCATGAACGAAGAAGATTTGGATTCAGATCCTGGGCCTGAACCGTGGCCCCTTCACCGCGTCCCCTTCGTTCTTTCCGCGGTGACCAAGCGCTGGCAAGCCGTCGCAAGGCTGACTACCTCACTGTGGACCCACGTCTGTCTCCGCCTTGATCCTAGTCATACCTGGAGACTAAAGGAAGAGATGCTGAATGAATGGCTTTCGCGCTCGTCCCCGCATCCACTCACTGTCCAATTAGAAATTCTGTACTGCAATTCCAAGGACCTTCGGTGGTGGGTCTTCTGTCGATCCATCATCGTGACCCTCAGCAAACACTCCACGCGATGGGGCGATATATCGCTGAAGACTCCAGATCATCTCCTCCCTCTATTCCGAGCGTACAGACCTGGTACGCCACACCTCCGCAGCCTCTCGATTGCACGTGCATTTCCCGACGAGGTTAGCGATCCCGACAACGTGTTCGATCTCAGAACTACCCTTCCAACTCCCCAATCCATTACTTTACTTGGGTGTCAACTCCGCATTGCCCATATCGACTGGAACAAAGTCACTCAAGCCGATATCTCTGGCATCACCGTGTACGAATCTCTGAAGATGGTGCGCTCCGCACCTGCATTGCGCGAATGCATCCTGTACAACATTGCAGAAGTAGGCAGTATTCATCGGCTCCACGGCGAATACCTACTTCACACCGCTCTCACAACACTCGATATAAACATCTCTATCGATCAAATCTCTCTGTTCTTCGACCGCCTTACGACGCCGTCCTTGAAAAGTTTGCGTTTTGAATGCTTTGGGCAATCCCTGGACCCCGTGACGACCTTCCTCCAGCGTTCGTCGTGCCCACTCACCTCCCTCACTATCTTACATGGGGCGTGCAAGTTGAACCACAACCACGAGCTTATTGAGGTTCTCGAAATTGTTCCGACTCTCGAAACCCTGCACGTCTATAATGTCAAAACTTTCGACGAGTTCTTCGAGCTCCTGGATCAACAGCAATCTCGCAACAACAACGACGATCAGCACACATTCCTACCCTCACTTACTGACTTGTCTGTAAATTGGCGGTATGGGGCTCCGACGTTCTCGTGGTCTGCTGTTCACAAGGCCATAGCCGCGAGGGTTTCTGCAGAACCGGGAAGGGAAGGACAAGGGAAGCCCATGCGAATAGAGCTGGAGCCGTACATCAGTGAAGATGAAGGTGGGTACTACATTGATGAAGAAAGCTTGGAAGGCTTCCAGCGCCTGATCCACGATGGCGTCGAAATCACAATACGCAATATGGCGGGGCACATGGACGTCATTGCGTATTCGAAGAAGTACTACGCTGATAGGAAGGCGTAGAGGTCCGGAGTTGAGGTAGATAAGGGTGGCTACCATCGAGGAATATGGGCTTGAAGTGTTCGAAAGGATATTACAGTAGGGCGCCGAAATTGAGATGCGAAATATGGATAGAGAAAGGTGTCCCATGGTTTGATCGCATATTTGAGAGCTTTCTGGGACGACGGAGCCACGAAAAAAAATGTCAACATTTCCCCGCAGAAAGTCACTCTATTTTACTCTACAAAATATGGTGACGAGTCTCGAGGAAGGAGGCAGAGCGATCCAATTGTGCCATGTCGTTTTCATGGCCATGCAGGCTGACGGCGGCGTTGTCCGTCAGACGCCTCGCTCGTGCATGCAATATTCCCGTGTGTTCGCCTTTCTCATGTGTTCTGCCCTGTCAACTTCTACTTAGCCTGAAGCAATAAATTCTAAATATATCGCATGTACTATTCGCTCCTCTGTTCCAGTATTTTATTTTTCCATCATGTCATTTACTTCTCCTTATCTTATAAGCAGCCGCTCATAGACTCCCAAGAAACCTTTGTTACACCCGACTTGAAGTTCTGAGCAACGGTCCAAAATGGATACTTCGACGGCTCCTCCATCTGGCCGTCTTCGTATGTCTCGACTTCCAGTGACATGAGAGGCCTGATATGCTTCGTCTTCCGTGGATAGCGGTGGGTCTTGACAACTTTTAGAATGGTGTCCCACCAGAAGTTCTTCTCTCCACGGTACGTGATCTTCAGGATATTTGGTAAGAGGCACGAGGGTCGACGGTGTCCCTTCAAATCCCTTTTCTTCGCAAGCAACTCAAAGAATACCTCCGTGACTGGCGCCTCGTCGAGATGAAGTGTGCGCAAGCCGGCGAAGGCTGAGTGGCTCAGGAACGCGATGAAGTCGTGCTCCCATCCGTAGCAGAGGTTGAAGTGAAGCTCGTCGAGAGAGCAGGTCGAGCGTTCTAGAAACGAAGTTATAACTCCAGTCGGGGAGAATGGTCGGGGGCCCCATGTATTCAACATGAGCCCTTTGAAAGCGAGGGTATTCAGGCCGGGAAGGCACATCCTGTCTAGAAATAGAACGAGTGCATTCTCGGGGCCCCACGAAGGCATAGATTTCAGCTCAATGTGCTGAAGTGAGGTGTTGGTGATGACGCGAGACCCGAGGGCTTGAACCCGTCGAGGGGAAGGCGGAACCATGGTGCCCTTGAGCTCTAGAACACAGTGCTGGAGATTTGTGGCACGCTCCAAGATGAGCGAAGCGAGAATGAACATGTCTGCAGCGCGCGACACGATAACGAGGTGCGTGATATTCTTGAGAACATCCACTGAGAAATCTGGGATGATCTCGTCCGAGATGAATAAGTGAACTGGCCGTTCAACTGGTGAGTCACGGGCAGCTCGGCCGGTGGTACCAGTGTGGTCCATATCGGCAGGTAAGGAAACAACCTAGTCGTCATACTTAAATTCCACCCAAGTCTCTACGAGAGAATGGCCTTACCTTGGGTAAAATGTCTGTGGGGGGACAGACGAGGAAAGAGAGTACCTTGCCGAGTGATCGACTGAAAGAGTGGCACTCCGGGGTGGGAATGTTCGTTGTTGACTTGATTCGGCTACTTACGCTTCCATCAGTGGCTCAGTCCTATATATTGGGATAAGTTCTCGATTTTTAAGAATTAAATATCTACACCGCTAGATCTCAGTTCATGCTCTGCCAGGTTTGTGAAGGAGGCACAGAAGGATGAACGAGGGTAGTAATACCAGGGGGGTGGGCTTGCGGACAAAAATGAGAATGTCATCTTTGGGTGCCACATTTCTCTCGTGAGAGGCCCGCCGAAACCCGAAGGGAAACGGCAGGGAGGAGTTAAAGGACTTATCGACAAATGTCATTTATATTTCTCACTGTGATGATTTGAAGCACACTGATAAGTGGTCATAGCTTATGCATTCACGGAGAGGATGGCACAGAGGCCGCGTCGACTCGACTTAAATGAGCGGGGGGTATCACTGGGATCTGTATCATCTCCTTTGTGGATATATTCTGTTAACAAATTACTCTTCACCCCGCCGTGGCCATCATGCTCAAATACTTCTCTCTCTCACTCAGAGACAAAGCCCGATAAGGAATTAAATTCTATTTTGGGTGGGTGTCCGGCAAACTCCGAACTTCGAAGACCCATGGGCGTACACTCCGATTGCGTCTTGAAGCGTCTGAATGGATATTAGGTAGTTACAACTCGCACTCGAGCCACATGAGCAATTGTTTTGGTGGACTCACCATATGAACAATTTATAGGATTCGCCCTGCGCGAGGTAGGAGTTACGCGATTGTTCATCTCCACGTTGTGCCAGGCTCCCCAATCTTTGCCGCGGCATTTATCCCCACCCTTTCTCTTTTATTTCCATAGTCCCGACTCCTCACGAAGTTCGCTCGTCTCCTTCCCAACAGTGAGAAGTTGAGTCTCCTGTCGCCGTCTCTCGCCACAGATCGACAAGTAATCGCATGTCATGGACTCTATCGTCATAGCCGCATGCTCGGCCATGCAAGATCCTGGTTTGTCTATCTGCAATGTCTCAAATTCGTCGCGATCGCACTACTTCCTGAATAATTTTGGGACGTGCCGCGATGCTTGGGTGGAGCAGCAGTTATTGCACTGACTGGATCCAGAAGAGTAAGCCCCAAATATCCGATACGTGTCAGGTAATCCTAGCAAATTTAAATCCGCGTATATGCTGATAAAGGAAGATAAAATCACCACCGACACGCAATATCCACACATTCGAAGATCGTCGTAGTTCGGTCCGGCAGTTGGAGCGTTTCCATCTCATCCATTCGAGTGTATCTACGTTCAAAGCACCATATCTGACTGGTTAAACTTGACTACGAAGTGACGAGTGCAATTACGAACGCCTGAGCCTCTGCGTCAGGGAGAACGTCGGGTCCAAGAGGCCGTTCCAACGTGTCAAATTCCTTGCGTGCTCGCGACGCTCCAGTCACGACCACACCGAGCTCCACTAGGCACACAGAGTGGCGGCATCGTTCGGTGGGTAGCTGCGACAGAAGTAAGACTGCAAGACTCAATAGTGAACATGATGGCGTACGCTTACTACCTTAAAGACTAGGACGAGAACGAGCATGTTGGTATGAGAAAAGAGGAGACGCGGATCGAGCAAGAGCTGAAGGACTACGACAAGTTAGTGTTATCTCGTTCTTGAGGGCGTCATCTTTCCTACCGCACTTCTGCCAGCTTATTCCTACTTTCCAAATTCCGAAGTCGGAGCCCGAGTCCGTTGCACAGGAGACTATGTCGGAGGGCGAGTCAGAATGTGCATGTACGCGTCCGTAAGCTTGCATTCACCCTCATTAACTACCTGCAACTTTTCTCCGAGATGACGACACTGAATTGGCCAAAGTAAGGTCGCTTATAAGCGATGGTAGGTTAGTCTCGCGTCAATTCGATTGCGGGCTTTACATACCGATATTGAGAAGGACGATGTCAATATCTACTACTGGCGACGAGCGGGCTCGTGGTTGCGGGTAAGAAGAGAGGACCGTCATGATTCGGTCGTACACCAACCAAAGAGGCTGAGGAAATGGCCGCTCTCGCACAACTCGCTGCTTGCGGGAGATCGTTTGGGCCAGCGTTCTACTTCTCCGACGCAAGCTTTGGTGCTTATCGATTGACAGCTTGTGTTCGTAGACCGTGGTCTTGTGCCTATGAGAATGGGTTGTAAGCCCACATCCTGCGCGCGATAGAAGGCGTATACTGACCTTTAACCATCCCACAGCGCTGCTGAGCCGCCCTATAACACCGCTCCATCGGTTCAACTGAAACCCCCGGCATAGCCTCCTCGTACGCAGTGAATCTTGTTGGAGGCTAACATGCATCGCAGCCGATGGGTCGAGCACTCCACTTGCGACGTCTTCGTCCGTTTTACGTGCTCCTCTTGCTCGACATTCAGATTGGTGCTGATATTTCTGGATCGTAGTGGGTTCTAGGCACCGAGGTAAGCCTTCTTGGTGGCCATTCGCAGGAGAACGCTGACCTTAATAGTCTTCTCCGCGTCATAACTGATCCTTCGCTCTGATCAACTCCCCTGAAAACATGTCTTCGTTATCTTCGCTCTCCCCTAGCATTCTTGGGCACGACATGACGTGTTGAATACGGCGCGTCGGATACAGTGTGGTTTGCAATGTCGCTGCGAGATTGCTGGGATCGTGGAACGTGCACCTGATGAACAGATGAGTCTCGTCCTTGCCACGTATTAGGTCGAGCACTCACATTTTCGTAGTCATCTATCCATTTCATTCCTTCGCCGTGGCTGCCACCCGAAATTTCGAGGAGAAAAATCGACTTGCTGGTGAGTAGAGTCAGTCATCGTACTTCGGGAGGAGGATGCAAAACTTACCCAGACTTCTAGCGGGCCTACGACTCAATTTCTGTCGCCGTAACCCTACTCTTACTCGTACTCCTTGTTTTGTTGAGCCGCCGTATTGTCTGGCAAGAGAGGTTGGACACGGAATTGAAATGGCGTTGGACGTTGTCGAGCTTGACGGAAGAAACTAGGGAACGTGTAAGTCCAGCTTCGCTTCAGAATGACTCGTCTTCTCGCCTTGTTGATGGAAGACACCTCGTTTGGTCCATCTGCACCATTTCGTCGGCGGTCTGAGAGAAGACCTCCGACACTCAGCTGAGAAGACGGTAAGCCACCGCTCTCGATGAGGATGAGAAGAATAGCCTACTCATCGATCCCATGAGCCCATGCCGCCGTCCCGGCACGTTGTAGTTCGCAATCGCGCCAGAATCGACGCATACTTCAAGTTAAACGTTGTAAAGGGCATCGGCGAAGACATGACATGAGCAGGGCGGACTGCAAGTTCGATCAAGAATCGTGTAAGCGAAGTCGGTCGTGCCTCGAGAAATGTCTTTTCATTCACCTCAGAATCACCTGTTGGCATCCATCTGTGTGATTAACAGGGTGAATGTTCGCAAGGGAACGTGAGCGGTATCTTGAAGTGAGTGCAGAAGAAAAGTTGAAGCAGAGAGTCAGACGAATGGTTTATTATCTTATCTTATCTCCACGAATACTGGTCTTGTCTTCCGAGACCCAACGCCTTCACGAACTCTCTTCCACTCCACCACGCGACACACGTCTCGCACTTCAGTCCATTCCGAATCTTAACCTGACGGGAACCAGATACAGAAAACTGGAGGAATATGTGCCTCTGCCCTGTGTGCGGCACACATGCCGCCGCTGAACGAGGCCAGCTGTGCGGCGCGTTCCCTCCAAGGCCTAGCCAAATACACCACTCGTGCCGCGACCTCAAGACTCTTGAGGCACAAATTTCAACCACCAAAACTTTTCTAGCCCACCTGGAATCCCACCTCCTCATTCTCAGATCGGAATGCAACCGCGCTCATGATCGCTTCACCCACCAACTTCCTCCAGAGATCATCTCCCGCATCTTCGGCTTCTGCGTATCGCGAGAAGGAGACCTCTCTCCGTTCGACCTCGGTACTGTCTGCAAAAGATGGCGCGAAATTGCGTGGTCCACCTCTCAGCTATGGACCTCGCTCGACGTCGACCTAAACTGGCTCGAGATAAATTCTCAGGCGCGCAGCTGGCTCATCGAGGAGTGGCTGTCGCGTAGTGGGGAGCTTCCTCTTTCGATCAGCGTTACATATGTGGAGATGGACCTAGCGCCACCTCCACATGCTATCCTCGAGAACATTGTGGACGTCCTCAACCGATTTTCGCGACGTTGGCAGGATTTAGACTTATCCATTCCATTCACTCTCCTGCCCGCTCTCTGTGGAAACGGAGACGGTGTTTCAATACTCAACACTCTGCACATAAGTCCCCCTGAGATTCTCGACGACGCAGAGGAGGAAGTCGTGCCCCAGCTTGCGTACCCATTCCAAATCACCAATGCGATTCCCAGTCCACAACGCGTCGCGATTACCAGCTTCCCTTTCAGCATGGTGGGGATCGATTGGCTGAACGTCACCGACATATCCTTTTACGCCATACCAATTTACGACTTTCACTCACTTCTTCGCGAGGCTCCTAATTTGATCAAGTGCGTAGTTGACATCCAGGACGATACCAGCCGCCCTCCTGCGCCACCAATCATCGAGCGACCGTGTCTAATAGACCTCTATATCGGCCTCCATCAAACATTTCAAACATCACCGTCTCTCATCTTCGACCCTATATCGCTTCCGAGGCTGAAGAAGGCCACCTATCGTTGCAGACACCAGCCATTCGCTGCATTCACCGCCTTCATCGAACGGTCGCGATGTTCCTTGGAAACCCTCATCCTCGACGGAGTCGTCGACGAAGGAGCAGGTCTGGACATCATTTTCATGGACGACGACGACATTTGGAACCCCCTTTAGAACCTTCGCACTCTTACTACCCTTGTATTCAACATCCCCGTCGTCGCAAAGAAATTCTTCGACCTCCTTTATATCCCCTACTCCCCCGCCACGAATCCCGACCAGCCGATCTTCCTTCCGCAGATCACCTCCATCACTCATGATTGCGACAAAGTCATGTTCTCGTGGGATCGTGTCATCCGTAGCGCGACCTCCAGGCTCAAACTTCGTGGCAACGACAGGCGGCCGATCCTTCGTCTACTGGATTTTCGAGTGCATGAGCTCGAGAGACTCGATGAGCTGCTTGTCGCCCGAATCTGCCACACCGTTGCGTCCGGCGTCGAGATAAGGATCAAGAAAGACTTGGAAGATGTGTTGGAAACTCACCGACGGGAGTATGAGCGGGCGAGGTTTGGCATCATTGACGGACTCTCCTGGGAAGAAGACCTTCTGTGAGCATTTTCTCAAATTGTGTTTGCATCTACCATTCATGGGTATCCGGATTTAACAGGGCCTCCACTTCAGATGGGTTGACGACTTCCTTCCCAGACAGTGATGAATTGACGGCTATCTAGTGATGCAAATTACACAGACAAAATAAACGAAATATATTTCGTTGGCTCTGGCATTACTAGATAGAGTGGTATTCCCTCGAGTACTCCATAACATCGTCTGCCGACACCTGATTGTAAAGTTGGATTTCAACACCAGCGTCGATAAGGTGCTGGAAGGCGTCCAGGCTTTCTTTGTCAATATAGTACCTGTCATCATCTTCCTCATCGGGCTGTATCAATATCTCCAAGTTGGTAAATACCCCTTGTCCTCCAACTCGTGGTCCACGAGAAACCCTCGCCGCAATAGCTCTGTGTACAGCAGGCCACGAGAAGTTCAGTGGCTCTCGGGTATATTCAATGAATAAGTGAGTTAGTGATGGTATGAACACGTCGGCATCGTCCTCATCGTTGGGGTTATCACCGCCCAGGAGCTTGAAAAAATCGTCGGAAATATCTACCTGGTATAATTTCAAGATTTCGAGCGTCGGTATGGCATAGAGGACGCCAAAGAGCTCGTGATCGTGGTCTGGTAGGTCGAATACGCAATCACTGTCAATGATCGTGAGGGATGTGAGCGGGCATGACCCACGCCGGAGGAAATTTGAGAGGTGGTACCAAAATACTCCGAAGCACTCATACCGCAATGTCGTTAAGGATGGAGTGGTAACAACATCGAGGAAAAGAGAGATTTGATCAGTGGTGATGCGCAAATCGAATGTTGTGAGATTAGCGAGGAAGATGGGATTGTTGTGGGCCTGGAGGGCACCAGCCTCATCAATGTCGTGCATGGTGCAGTTGCGGAGCTCAGGTGCTGAGCGTAGGATCATCAGACAGTCGGACAAAGGAAGTCCGAAGACCTGTGCTTGAGTGACCTTGCTCCAGTTGATGTGGACCAGGCGAAGCTCGCAAACGGTCAGAGAGACGGAGCGAGGGGATGGAAGGGTAGCTTGGAGACTAAAAGCTCCAGTACTGCTGGGATTGCCCACTTCACCCGGGAAGGCACCTTCGATAGAGAGGTGGTGGAGTAATGGGGCGCCGTCGTCGCGTCCCTGAATTAGAGAGAGTATATCATAGGGGATTTTAATCGAAAGGTCTGCCCAGCGGGTGGAGCAGCGGCCGAGAATATCTATCATGCTTTTGCAGAACTCCCACCACATGTAGTCATGGGGGTGGCAATACGGAATGCGCAATTGGATGGTGAGAGGGTGCTGGGCTGAGCGCGAAAGCCACTTAAACAAAGCATTCTCATCGAGACCAGCAGCTCGACCTGGCTCAAGGCGAAGATGGACGTCGTTCCATAGTGACGGATTCGACTTTGCAACGGCCTGCCAACGTCTGGACACCGCAGATAACGTGAAGGGGACACGGTGACGGGGCCACGGCTCGCGAGATGAATCTATGTCTTCTTTGTCACTCTTGCAGAGGTTGAAGATGCGCGATGCAAGCTCGGTCGGAAGGAGGCTCGTAAAAGGGTCGTGAAATTCGTTGATACTGGAGTCGAAAGTGGCACGATGTGCCTCCAAATGGCTCAGAAAGGCGCGGGCTTCCACAATCTGACGATCCAGCGATCCTAATTTGACGCATGGCGGACATGGGGATGAGGCCTTTCTCCATGGAGTACACTTGATAGTGGTGTAGTCAGCGCCGAAGTCTCCATCCTTGCCGCAGGTAATACACGTGAAATGCACCATCTCTGGAATGTACGCCCCCTGGTACGGATGCCAGTAGTCACTAGCTGTAAGGTAATGTTAATGTATTTGTCCATTAGCAACTGATTATGAAGCCGCACCTCAGGAATGCAACCCGAGTGCGGTTCAACTTATGGTTCGAGTTCGTAGATCTGGCAAACTTCAATAGATCGCAGACGTACGTGAACAAAACTTGCAAGCTTACTCAATGCACTTGATTTGTATCCGTAGCCGTTCAACAGAGTGTAACAGTTTGGAGGCCCAGTCCGCAGTGACTGTAAAGAATAAAGGTTGATTTTTGAGAGGTTGTGTCGTCGGGCAACCACCCCCAGAAGGCCTTGGCAAACATGCACAAGCTTACCGTCCGCGTTCCTCTTCCCGATCCCCCTCAACGCCGTACACGGTCCGCCCGCTCGATGGACCAGAACACCCTCGTCTGCTAAGGCCCCAAAATGGTTCCCGTATCTGCCGTGAGCCTTTTGTTCGTTGTGCTATTCTCAAATGACATGCACTGACGACAGTTTTCGCAATTCATAGTAGGCACCAGCCTCGCGATTGCGATCCTTCTACTCGCGCTACGTAGACGGTGCGAACCTTCGCACGTCTCTCGCTCTCATTGTGATCGCCACCTCCATGCGATCGCTCCATTAATAAAGAAGAGTGGAAGTCGAAGGACGCGGAGAAGAGCATGAACATGCGTATGTATGAGGAAGGAGTAGCAGTGTTGTGGTCATAGACTGTTGAGGGTGGAGGGAAGGAGAGAGGGTGGAGAGGGGGCCCAGAGGGTCAAGATCGCGGATGGACGATGCACTAGAGAAGCTATTTTCGTCACAGATTCTAGGCAATTCTTGCTAATTTTTCTTTCCTCATGTTTAGTCACTTATTACAACGTTCATCACCATATAATCCTGCAATTCATGCTCTAAATAGACTTTGTACGATTGGATGAAGCAATCCGGAGACCGACGGCACTTCTCTGGCCTGCTGCCCTAACGAGACAGCGTAATCTCAAATCTCTCGACGATGTCAATTGCAAATTCGTGTCAGCAATTTTTGTTCGTGACGACTGGCATTATGTGGGGCTGAAGAGCTTCCAAATTTACTACACCCCGGTGTGCAATTGTCGAATCTCGCACTTCTCCGCCGAATGGGGCATCCTCGTCGCGGGCCTGTTGTCCCATTACCTTCCTAGATTCTCAGCCCAACTTCCCGTTATTTTCTTCACCTAAGCCGTCGCTGCTGCCCTTGGAATTCGTCCTCGAGGACAGTAATATGTACATACCACGACGTTTCCTAGAGCCGGCGGCCTGCTCGGAGCACCTTGGCCGCGTACAGCGGACTTTAAGATCTCGTCCCAAGTGCCTTTGACGTCTCTCGTCTGGGGTACTCAGGACTACTCACAAACCTTTGGGCATTCGGGCATCTAACTGCAGTAAGTCCAGAGCCCATTTGACATTCTTCCGCTCACATTTGCCAGCGACATTCAAACCTTACAGTGCTACCTGAAGTTCTCCGGGCGTAGCTCATGGTCAAAATGAGTTGTCATATTTCCCTTCTTATCTGTATAGAACTATGTCGCTGTTTCTCAAACTTGAAGGTCATTCTCAACGATAGCCCCTTCTTTTAAACGCCTCCGGCCCTCTTTCTTTCTACTTGTCGACCAAGCTGAGGTGCATAGTTAAAATTCTCATTCTCATATTGCTAACTTTTATACTAATACTCTGGGTTCGTACTCTAGTTGAAGAGGGACGTGGCGCGTTGCCTTCGCCCACTGCAACACATTAGTTCTTGAACTCGACAACGACGATCTTTCTCTGATTTTCGCACAACGTCTTTCAGGCCATTTCCGGGTTTATTAATCTGGAATCGGAGAGGGACACCAAACATCGTTCATTTTTTCTACCGACTTCTCATTCTCGCCTACATCGATCCAAACATCCTCCATGCTCCAAACCAGGCAAGCGTACATGAGATCGCAAGATATTTCCCATCTGCTTTGTGGCCTCTAGCCATACCAGTAGTTCGGCGTCCACTTCACCTACGCAAGTGCGTTAGTTTTGCATATTTCGACAAGAAAAATCGCATTCACTAACGTAAGAAGCATCTATCTTCTTCAGATCACCCAGTCCCAGATTTGCCGCGTCTGCCGCAATCTCGCGCTTCAATAACTGGATCGCGCGCACCACACCATCCTTTCCGTACACATTCGAGAACATGAAGGGCCGGCCGATACCGACGGCACGTACACCCAGAGCCAACAGCTTGAGAACGTCGGTGCCATAGCGCACACCACCGTCGGCGAACACCTCGGTCTGCGTGAACACCTCCGGGGCCTCCTCGTGGATCTCTAGTGCAATCTCCAGTGATGACGGGCTGCCGTCCAGCTGCCGCCCGCCGTGGTTCGACAGAATTATACCAGGTGCGCCGGCAGCGACGGCTGCCCGGGCGTCTTCGACTGTTACTATGCCCTTGATGATGATTGGGAGCGTAGTCATGGTTTGGAGCCGCTTGTAGATGTCCCACTATATAGGTGAAGTCAGCATCTGGCACCCGAGGAGAAAACATCAGATGTAGGCAGGGGTGGCTCACGGTGATGAGAGAATACGCCAATTCTTCGTGAAGGCTGGGAAGCAATGTCAACACAGCTGGAACGGTATCCAAGAGATGGCTTCGACTTGCTTAGAATTGGCACCGAAACGGGCAGCGCGATGCCTGTTTCCATCCGCTGGAGCATCCACGGTGAACACGATGGCCTTCGCACCAGACTTCTCAATACGATCAAAGAGGAGTTGGGTCGCGGTGGCGTTTGAATCTAGGTACACCTGTTATGCGAAGATCACGTTGATTCTTGGCTTAATTCAAACGGGCAATTGAATTTACATACTTGTTGGAATGTGACTTGGCTTGTGTTCTTGGCCGCGGCGATGTCCTCGATAGAAAGAGTTGCAAATAGTGAAGGCTGTCAAATACGACAAATACTGAGCTCAAATACTCCCCGAACCAAGCCACAGTTGCTACTCACCACATATAGGATGTTCTCTGCGGCAGCTCCCTGTACCAAACCTCGCTCAGCTTCAGGATGAGCAAGCCCACCTCGGGAGCATGGGCTGATATAAAATGGCACTGAGAAGTTGTGGCCCAGAATTGTCGTCCTGCAATCGCAATCAACGGGGGAGAAAAGCGGAGCCGTCTGGACACGTACGGCAGAGTCGACTCGATGTTGGTGATATCCGTCATAACTCTCGGCCTAAAGCGGAATCGTTGAAAAACCTCCAAGTTGTTCCTGTATGACCATTCTCCAGCAGAACCAGTTCGATAGAACGTGTAGGCGGAGATGTTCATATACCGTCTGGCGGCCCAGTTGAAATCGGGCAGGCCTACGATCTTGGATAGGTCAGGGAGAGTACCTGCTGGGAGGTCGCCGAAGTCATCCTCGATCGCAGTGTCGGGCTCGTTCAAAAACGGACGAGCAGCAAGGGCTACCGATACGAATCCCAGGAAGATAAACGACAGACGCATTTATGAAGCTTGGCGTATAGCGGTGAGAAGGGTACAACGAGGAAAGGGGGTTGTCCAGAGAAGAGACAGCTTCCACACTGCTGACCCCACAGCGCATCCTATTTATACGCGTTCTGCATAGCACACGGTGAAAAACCCATCCATCCTTGCTTCTCTTTCTATCTGCCCGCGTATTCATCGCGGTAAGTGGCCGCGTGGCCACACTGGAATTATTTTAGAGGCCATCCCGGTAAAGAAGAAGTACGGTTTGGAATTCGTGAAGGAAGGACAGAGGTGCCTTCTTAAATTCGAAGGTACAAGCGACCTTGTTCGGCGCAACCGCCGCCATGCGTGGCACTTTATTCTGTGGTTTCTATCCTCCCAAAACTCTCGATTTCGCCAATTTCTTGTAAGTGTCGTCCCTGAACTTGGATTGATACAAGGAGCTGCTTCTCACTGACCTTTGGTCGCTCGTCACAATGTATCAGAGGTCTTAATCTCATCTAATCTCGTTCCGATGTCCCCTAACCGACGCCTAAGAATAGGTCAGCTTGCTCGGCAGGGTGGCATTGGTGAATTCCGCTTTTTCCTCCACGTAAAAGAACTACTCCTACTATGGTATTTGAGACTTGTAATCTTGGCGAGGGACCCCCTGGTTAATCCGCTATGTGTACCGTCACCTGAGATCCAATACTTGTGTTAACGTCGATGGTGTTTCGGAGCGTCTGAAAATTAGAACACCATCTAACGGCCGGCGGTCTCTGCCCATAGGTTGGCTTCGGCGCATTGCAGACACTCAGTGCGTTTGACAGGGACAGGTCAACCGGTTCGACTTTAATCCTCTATCTACGGTCCGTTAACGGTCCGGGTTTTATTCAGCGGGATTCAGTTGATCATGGCAACGGAGCCTGAATCAAGTACCTTTGTAGAAATAAAAGCTTCTTTTCTAAAAACCTCGCTAGAAGTCTGGAAGGCGGCGGGTAAGTCTCGTCACATGCCAAGTCAGAGGCGCACTTGAGAAGTCGGACAGTCCTTAAGTTGTCGGTACAATTTCATGACTCTTTGAACAATCCCTTTTTGCTTCAGCGGACGACACGTTTTTCGAAGGGCAGCCGGCACGCGCAGAGGAACAGGGCCGTCACTTCTGGACCCAGATAAGATAAGATCCGACTTCTTATTGGTGGGCGCAAGTTGCTTATTCCCACGAATGTCAGCTTTCTCCCGTTTTACCCTCATCCGCCTTTCCAAACGCCTCCGCCCCTCTTTCTTTCCACGCGTCGACAAAGCCGATGGGCGCATACGAAAATTCCTTGCATTCCTGGCATACAGAGTAAATTGACTTTTAGTCGCACAACAACCTTTGGCGAGAGCTGTGCTCACGAACCCTGTACAGGTGTTGGGGTTGAGGGCGTTCCCTCAAATAACGGCGCATTATAGAAGGGAGGCTGCTGCGTACTTGAAGGTCTGTCTTGGAGCCGCGATTTAACTTGCCCGTAATCCGTTCTAATGTGATTTACTTTCTAGCGCACGCGCCCGGTCAAGAAAAGCGAACAGTTAGAAGATATTTATATCCAAATTACGGTAGATATCATTTCTCGGGCGATATAGAACTCGTCGTGCGGAACAGTCATCTTTGGGCACTGTATGGGACCGAGTCCCGATATCTATAGCGTTCCAACCGCACAAAAAGGATGGCGTAGACAGAACGTGTCCCTGACAGAGGGCACCGGGGGTACACAGTTTCGACATGAACAACCAAGGAACTTACCAGTCGTTAGACGTCATGCTAGATCTTCCATCCACCGGCTTACCACCATCCCCGGGGCGTCGCAGCTTGATACACCGACACCAAACTGTTCGGACGAGGCTGGGGAACGAGGTGCTGAACCCACCGAGCGGATCTATGTATATATCAGGGTGTAAGTCTGTTGTGGACGATGCCTTGAGCGCCAGGACACACGTACCTATCGCCTACGATCGACGGTCAGCCATTTCATTTTTGGTGGTTCGTCCGTTTTTGGCGGGCGGTTGAGTTTTGGCGATTGTTCAATTTTGGGCAGTATCCTAGTTTTTCTTTCAGAGTAGATTTTTTAAATCGTGGTTCGGTTTTAACAGCGAGATTCGTCAAAACTGGTGTGCGGTACCCAATCTCCTCAGCACCAATCCTCGAGCTTCTCACGCGCTCCGTCTATTTGACGAACGACTAATCCAGTGTGAAAAGGATGGATTTCGTCGTGGTGAAAGAGTAAAAAGCCAAATCAACAGGAGCGCTTTATGCAATCTATGGGAGATCGTGAAATGCGCCAGCTGCTCTGTGTCAAGATCGAGGTAGACAATGAGGGAGAGGGATAGTGTAGGTGGGACACGGAGACGAATGACGCCGCTCGGAGAATCGTCCATGGGCAATGAGTGCCGGGAGGGGTTCCGAGGTGTGAGCCACACCTCCGTCCACAGCGCGGTGAGATCCAAAGTCTACTGCGAGCGGCGTGTCGTCGACGTAGTGTTACATTAGTCGTGTGAAGGGAGTGGAAGAAAGGAGAATAGTATTGCCAATGGAAGTAGGGGACGGCTGGGGGATCGGATCGGACGAGAGAGCAGGGATTGTTCAAAGGGCTTCTTGTCAATCACCAGTGCACCACAGAAGAACTTATCACGCATAGCATGGGTGGCTTTTCGGAGAGTAAATCAAACGAAAAAAACCCTGCTCTTTTCCCCTTGGGTCATTTGGTCGACGATGGCGATGGCGTGTTCTGAATTGAATAGGATGAGATTGACGAAGGAGGGAGAGCGTCAATAAAGAAAGCAGATTTGGCCATTGCAGGATAGGGTATGATGGCGAAGGGTCATAAGTTGGCGCAGCCAGATCTACAAGGAGAAAATAGGAAGAGCAGGGGCCAGTTTCGTCGTATCAGGGGGATCCAGGCGCTGAAGTCGGGAACTCAGGATGGAGTCGTCGACAAATGTTTCGCTGGAAGGAAGGAAGGAAGGAGCTTCTCCCTGCTCTATTCTAGCTTCGTTCCTATATTTGCCGTGGATGGAGGACGTGTCGGTGTGCGACGAGGCTGCCTGCCAGGAGGAGGGCGACAAGGCATTACAAGAGATGGACGTGGACGAAGTGGATGGCTCGGACTCGGAGGAACTGGTTGCCGGCTATGCCGAGCACGCCGAGAAGCCCTTGCCAAGCAAGTCCAATCACTGAGCTCACCGTTCGGCTCGTTCTCCGGCACGTCTTCACCATGTCCTCCCCCTCCCCCTCCTCCCCAACTCCTTCCCCGCCGACGCCCTACAAGGACCACCCACTCGATGCGCTAGAGCGACGGCCGCTGACGAAAGTCCCTCCATGGATCCCTGTATCTGCCGTATGTCTTTCTTCTCTATAAATATTTCGATACTTTTTCTGACGGACGAGTGTTGGTATCCTCAGTTCATAGGCACCAGCCTGGCGATTGCGATCCCGCTCCTTGTGCTCCGTCGACAACGTGCTTCGTTCAAGCGTCTCTCGTTATCCTCCTCTTCAGCCGCACCTCCACCTCGGCGTGGCCCCGCTACTGGCTCCCGGACCTCCTCACTACCCAGGACCTCAGGATCGACACTGGAGCACAGCACTCTTCAACGCGAAGTCCCCATCTTCGCCGAATCCGAGCCCGACCGCACATCACCCAGCATGGGCGAGATGGTGTCTGCTTTATCAAAACTTAACGCGTCGACGGCGTGGATGGCCGCCAAGGCCTTCACGATCGCCACGGGCCTCGTAACGGTGGGTGGTGTGGTGCTGGCGTGGGGTGTGAAAGAGGGCATGGGGGTGCGGGATGTACGTTCCGCTTCCTTCTTACCCTCGTCTTTGGCTGAATGATGGTCTGACATTTCTCGTGATAGGCAAGAGAATTCGGCCAGCGCATGCGCCATATCCTCTACACGACCCTACCCTCCCTGTCCACGCGCATACACCGGCCCCCCGAAACAGACGAAGAGCGCCATGACGTCCATTCCCTCGCTCCATTCGGTATTGAGCAGGAGTGGAGCTGGGAGGACGCGGAGAGGCGGATGAACCGAGCATACGAGGAGGGCGGTTTCACACTATGGGCACAGACGGCGCTAAGAGAGATCGAGGCGGAGGCAAGGGTTGAGCGGGCGAAGATGGAGAAGGAACTGGATGAAAGGACGAAGAGCTAGATTGTAGAAGGTATGTTCCTGAATAGTCGGTGTCGTCGGTTCATCCTGAATCATCTCGTTCAGTAATTTATCGACACCTACACACATAAAAATATCACTCGATACTCCTATTTTCCGCAGGATGTATGTGCAGGCAAGAAGAACGAACTGGCACATGTGCAACGTGCCAAAGACTTGAGTATATGCGCCGAGGCCAGGACCAAGGCCGTCCAAACCCCCGAAGCTGCTCACTTACGAACATAAGAAAGAGTATACACGGCTAACCTTTAGCCCATGGAGCTTCCTTCAACACGCCAGGGAACGTTATTCGCATCGTCGCTTCCTTCAAGTCGGACAACTACGGAGTAATCCATATCTTCAGCAAAGCCTCGATTGAAGCACCTGATCGGATGCGAAGGCGAGGTTTTTTGGAGGTTGAACCAAGGACGCCCTGAAGTCGAGGAAGGAAGTTGAGGCCGACGACCATGGCCAACGAGCGCGACGTTCTTTGTGCTTTATTTGATTCCCGACCAAGACGCTGCGGAGGCTGCTTGAGCTCGCCAACATAGATTTTGGTAGGTCTTCTTTCGTACACTCTCCAGCTCCTTCCTTTACCTTTACTCAACTCGTTCACTTTGCTGTGCTAGTTCCCCGAATCTGGTCGAGCATACGCTTCTTTCCGGGATTTGGCACGCATATATAAATAGTCTTTGTTCTTCCACTTCCACTTCCTTATACTACGTTTTTCTAGGCGCAGACACCTTCTCCGTCTTTGGAAATGGGCGATAAAGACCAGGTTAGCATTCAATTCAATCTTCGAAGAGCCGTTTGACCGACCGTCATGCACTCGCTTCTCATACTCTGATAGATATTATGAGTCGTTCAATTTCTCGATATTTTCATGAACTAGCGGCTAGCGAGGCCTCGAACAGCTGGATGGATGTCCGGATGGGTGTTTCTTCGTTCTAAATTTCCCCTTTGCTTCTCCGTCTCTCTGTTTCGTGCATGCTCATTGGCTTTCTTCCTCTTTCCCTAGTGGTAGCCTTGGCGGCTAGCGCTGCGTCTAATGCGGCTTCTGGTCAGAGAAAGCCGATACCTGCACACCATGCTAAGTTTTTGACTCGCGATTCTTCACGGACCGCTCGAGCCCGTCGGTGTTAAACTGGTATTGTGCCTTTCAGTGAGCCTTGATGCCCTTTCGTCAACGGAGGGCCGCCCATCAAACTGACTCGTCGAAGGGCATGGGACAGATCCATCTACTTGTTCTCGCGGATTCGACTTTCAACACTCAACTCTTATCCGTCTGGCTAGAGAGTCCGTGCTACTGATACTCTAGATATTGACTCAATCCAGAGTTTTGTCTACTTCGCATAACGAATCGAGACATCAAGCCAAGTGGCACCGGCTCATGATATAGGAGCACCAACAACCCAGTACCAACCACACAGCTCGCAAAACTAAGGCGAAGCCAATCAGTCAGTCAAGACACTACGTCTACACAGACGAAAACCCCAGATACGCAGGCCGGGGCTCCTGCGACCTCCCAAGACACCACCTCATCGCCCGCTCGAGCACATCTACCATCCCACGGTCACCCTGGGCGAACAGACCCCCGCTCTGTAGCAGAAAACGCCCTACGCGGCGGCTGTCGTCGCCCGCGAGGAACAGCGCACCGAGCAGCGCACCGGCCTCGGCAGGGTCGGTGCGGTGGAGCGCGGTGAAGGCGCGTGTGGCGCGGGTGGGATCTTGTGCGTAGAGTGCGAGGATGGGGGCGTGCGTTGCGGGACGGGGGGTTTGGCGCGGGGATGAGGAGACGGAGTTGGCCCGGCGGTAGCAGAGGCGCCGGCACTTGTGCGAGCGTGGTTGTCTGCTCGGCGGGCAAAGGGATTGGGACGTCTACATTCTCGTCGATCTGCACTTGGATCTCTCCAGCGCTGTGGATCGATATGACGGACATGTATCTAGAGAACATCCAAAGAAGAATAGTTGGGCTTACAGGATGCCCTGCCCGCAGACGACCAATGATGACCGCGAAATGCGTATCCTCCGATGACATTTCATAGGCGCTCGGCGAGCGCTGAAGAGGTGTGGCCCGACCAGGGGAAGGAAGTCAGTGTCAGGGTTTTGTTCTTCCATCATGAAAGTGTACCTCGTCGTAAGGTCACTTAGTTGGGCCCGTTAGGTTATGCGAGGATGTGAGCTCCGTGTGTGTTCACAGGCTAGTAGAAGTCGATAGTCGGAGTGAAACCTTGTCGCACCGTACTCCTATAGGAACTATTTACCATTCCTGGCACATCCCCAATTAGAAATGCATGCCCCTATGCTCTTGTCTACTGCGGTTCTGCGATGGATACCTTCGCAGCATTTGTAAACTACCCATATATTTTCGTTGAATAGTCTCGCCCGAGGATTATGCTTATGCCCAACTCGAGGGAGCGGGGCGACAACGATCCACAAAGACGGTGCTAATCTGGAACTGATTCGGGGGTATACTCGCATAATTGGATACCGAGAGCTTGGAAGTGCACATTTCAAAGGGGTGTACGTGACTGGCACGAAGGAAATAAGAAGCCGAGATTCCTCTAGCTTTTGGAGCCACCTCTCTGGTGAAATAAAGCCACGATGCAGGCCGGACGCGAGCAAGGACGAAGCCGCTCGCAAGTGCTCCAAGAGTCGTATTGCCACTACAATGAATCCGGAGGAGTGAGGCACCCCTCCGCCAATTGCAAGACAAGATTTACGCCCACTGAGAGCGGACCCGACATGGTGTCGAGGCCGTCCCATACCTAAATTTACTCGTACGGCGGAATGGAAGCAGAGAACAGGATCGACTAGGCAGTAGAGACATAGAGACAACAGAGAAGATGTCTTCTTTGTTGAACTCATTCTTCTTCCCTCCTCCCAAACTACCTCGTTATCAACATCCGACCAGGAACACGCACTCGACGAGCCTCGCACCTCTGACAGACTCTTCAGAGAGGCCGACAATCTACTCTAGTGACGATTTGATCATTGAGTCCTTCCTCGTTGGCCTCTTGTAAAATGAATCACGGTAACCAGAGTTGCAGCAGAGTTGACGAGGCCACAAGGCATCATGTTTCGATGGGCTGTCGGTTTCAGGTTCTTTAAAGGCGTGCTACATACTTCAAGTGCAGTCCGTTCTTGACTTCCTCACAAGCCTTGACCCAGATACGACCAATCTTCTCGAAATCTTCGATCTTTATCACAAAAAAGTAGTACAAAGATTAGACAAATAGACCCACGTAAGGCTGAGCTTGACGAACCGTGTTGAACACCTGGGCACTGCACCGCGTCCACCACTTCTCATTATGGAAGAAATGGGCCGAGTACGCTTTATACTTCGTCAAGAGCCTCTCTTTGAGGAAGACATCGATCCTATTGTATTCGTCGATGGTGGTGACGGGTGGGAGAGGCAGCTCGACGTTTATCTAGAGCGTGTGGGGCGTGTTTCGTCAATCGAATCCTCGACCTCCGGGGCGTGATATACAAGTCCGAATACATACCATGTTGAGTGTCAAGTCTCCGTCAGGGTCCATGACCCGTGTATCCAATATCTCAGCGAGAATTTTGCCGCCATTGAGTGCGAGATTGTGGCAGTAGGCGTTTATCTTTGCTTCGCCGCCGAGCCAAGTCCGGAAATCCAGAGCTTTGTAGACGAGCATCATATCATAGTGAAGATGAGAGCAATGTGACACGTTTAGCTTCAGAAAGGCTACAAAACATACCATCTGCAACTGTTAAGTGGGAACTCCAGTCGATAGTCCCGTTCCCTGTTGAGCGCGTCGGCGTCAATGACTCGGCATAATTGGGGAAAAGGTCGGGGAAAAGACGGGCCATACGTACACTCGTACTGAGGGACGAAGTTTGGCTCCGTTCGGTCCTTGGGGGAGACGTAGGCGTAGCTGGTTGGTATGGATGTGGTGACAATGTGCTGGTTCCTTTTATACACGTTGGGCGAATCACTAACGTAAAGATCTCGCATGAAGAGGCTCACCGTCCAGGTACGTAGAGAACGGCAGACGAGCGTTTCGCCGAAAGCCATTTGTGGTTGTTCTGGAGTACATGCGAGAGATGTAAGGAGCGCCGACGTTGACATCGACAGGGGGGTATCTGTACTCGTATAAAAGGCACTTACCGAGATCCAAAAGTCCGGTGCCGATTCTGTGAGGTTGATTCCTACCTCCTGTCCTATCGAATGCGCGGCGTCCACGACGCTCCACACACGCTCCTCCTTTGCGATCTTGACCATCTCCTGCCACGGTAGAAGAACGCCAGGGTTGGAAACGATGCTATCGATGATGGCGACGCGCTTCTTGTTTGGGGCAACTCGGTGAGCCCGCAGGAATTCTTTGAATGAGGACGCAATCTCCTCGTGCGTAGTTGGAAAATTAAGCGGGATGGTGTGGACGGTTGGGTGGGGTGGGACGTCGCCGATGCTTTGGGCCGTGCGAGAGATGGAGTTGTACGTAGTCGTGACTGAGATTTAGGACCATCAGTCTTGCCATCATTTCGTCTCAGCAACGTATATATGTGACGCACATGCGAAAATAGCATCCCCTTCTTCCCAGTCGAAATTTCGGAGAACGATGTTGAGACCGAGCGACGCGTTCGTCACGAGCACAACCTCATCCGTCTTCGCACCTATGAGCCTCGCGATCCGCTTACGCACGTCGATAAGCATGGGCTGGTACGTGAATCGATGGAAGAGATCAGGGTTCGCCTCTATCTTCTTCGTCAACTCGTATGCAGCCTGAAGGACGGGCTTCGGAGTCGTCCCATACGATCCTTTTTGACCGAGAAAAAAATTAAGCAACGCTAAGCTTCGATGAACATAATTTCTTAGCATGAGGTGGCACTGACCGCTGTTCAGGTTGATATACTCCGGGTCAAGTGCGAAGTAGGCCTTCAGCTCTTCCCCGAACGGTGGTGGTCTCTGCGTGTACAGAGCTTTATAGTCGACGTCTCCCATCGTATCTTGGGTGCTGATGTGGCAAGAAGGAAGATGGAGATCGAAGAAGAGCGACGGTGAGAGTAAAGTGGGTAATTCGAAGCAAGGCAAGCTTACCGAGTTAGGGGTTCATCATGTCACGTAATATAAACAGGACGCGTAATTACACTGAAGAGATCGTCACGAAGACGCTGCATAAGAGAAGAGATCCGGCACATAGCTAGTAAGATGCGGATATCTAGTTCAATCGGCGCGAGGTATGTTGAGGAAAAGGCTGAATAGAGGTCAATGCGTCTCCGGTCCGGACGTAGAATCGTATCGGGGAATCTTGCTCGCGCAGGACGATTGGCTAGTTCGCCAATGGCACGCAGGACTTGCTAAAAAATCGAGAGGAAGATCAGCCTGGAGGCAGGCAGAAGAACATAAGAATTGCTCACAGAGAATTCGTGGCCATACATTGAAGCATGCTGTTATCGACCGAGGGTAAGTGTAGATTCTATGCGCTTTGAGAGTCGCAGGTATCGAAGAAAAGGCTCCCTCAGAAAAAAGATGGCAAGTACATCGTGGCACGTGAACGCATGAAGAGAATCTGAGTGTGCCGGAAAAAAGATTAGATTAGATCAATGAATTACACTGTGCTATGCGCTTATGTTCCGTCCCGAGAATGGCAGCCATCTGCTCTGTGGTGTTGAATATCATTCCGCGTACTTTAGCAAGGTATGAACGCACCACTTGGCGATGATGAAAGAGAGGATGAGCGCACATATGGATGTCGCTAGCTGATCCTGTTAGCTGTAGAGTCATTCTCAAATGTTCCCTGCGGGATCCAACTTCAGTTGATTTTGTTGAAGGAGACAGACATAGAGAAGAGAAGAGAGACGTACTGCTTCGTAACCGAGGAAATTCTGCCAAACACGCCGTCAACACCACACTAACAGTCTTCAACGTCTCACGCTCCTCCGAACTCCGCACTCTTCCGTACTTCGCATTCCTTCCTCGTCCCGTTGGCCGGCTGCCGGGGCACCTCCATCGTCCCCCCCTCTCATGTTCGTCCTCGATCAAGCTGACGACGCCGATACCGAACAAGCGGAGGTGCCAATTCGTTAGAGTTTTCGCAGCCATCATTGTCTTCATTGTCACCGAGAAATCACGAAAAAGGTGAATATATGCGCGTGTAGGGGTTTGGGCTTATGCATTCGGTGTCATCGTATTCACTTCAGGTGATCGCGACCTACGACAAACATTTAGTCCAATTGCGAAGGAGGGAGTTTGAGGAACGATGCTACCCGTATGAACTCGCATAGATGGGCGATCGAAACGGAGGCCCACAGCGAAACTGCTCAGGACATCAAATCAGCACGGAGGACACACCGAAAGAAAGGAGGAAAAACGTACGTCTTCGGTTATGAGGTTGCATTATCATGGGTGAAGATTGACGTCCCCGATAACAAGGGTTTGAACACCTCTTGAGGTCGACAGGCTGACAGAGTCGTAGCTGGTGTAGCGAATTAAGTGTTGCGAGGCGACGCCCAACAGCCCCTCGACTCTATGCAATGGCTGTCCGACGTTGCTTCAGTGTCCAGCGCGAAGGAGCTAGCTGCATCTCAAGAATAACGGCAAATAGAGCGATCTGCTCATGGCCGTTATCCGTCGCAATTCGATGGAGGTCTCAGGTAGCGTTAAGGTCCTGCAGCCGGTGGTGGATGGTGAATACTGGCTAGTGTCGTTGGTGTCTGGAGCGACCAGAAGATTGGAGATAAGGTAAGGTGGGAAGAGTACTGGAGATGAGTGGGTCGCCAGGAAATGGTGGCATCCACCAGGAATTTTCTCGACGGTGTTCTGGATGAATCGCGGGTTGCTCTGCAGCATGGCCAGTTGGATCTTGCAGACGGATTCTGGACAAATAAAAGGGCATGTGAGCTCCTCTGAGTCTATGCAGATTACGGGGTAAGAAGGGAGAGCGTAGAGACGAAGAAGGGAGGCCCATTTCGTACCAGTGCGACAGGACACGATCCATTCGGTTCCAAACTGAAGGTCGTCGTGAAACCGAATGAATGAGGACACATTTACTGTTAGTTTCGGGCTAATCGAATAGTCAGGAAGGGATTAAACGCGTCGCACGAAGATGGGACACACTGCCGTCGTTGTAGCCTTCTCCTCTTCATTCTCTATGCCAGGCTCGTTCAGTCCGATTCGAATCCTTACTTCTTCCAACGCCGTCTACAAACTGCCTTTATTGCTCGAGTCCAGGCCAGGTAATGTAAGACATTTCCGCAGAGCAAGTTGAGTTACGAATAATAATTGGGACTTGTGCCTCGGAGGACGCGCCAGAGCAGTGTGCCATGAGAGGAGGAGAATCGCAGGTGGTAGTCGTGTCACTTATCGACAGTCCTCGTTGCCTAGCTTCAGCCCCTTTGAGGGCCTAGAGATTATCATCGATTGAGGACGGTCTAGTCGACGTGGTGGAACTGGTCAAGAGGGGCATGTCACAATAGGTGACAAATCGCGTCTTCCTTGAACTCGTCATAGCTCGTCATCGATTCATCGATTCGCCTTGAAGTTGAACGTAAACCACAACAACACAGCGAGGTACGGCTCTCCTAAGGTAACTTATTTTCTACTGGGCTCCTGAAGATCTGAAGACTGATGCATATTCATGTGCTCAACTCATTTTAACAGAGCTCTCGAAAGGTGCCTCCCATTTCCGTATACTGTCTGCAGACTGCGACACACAGAGCGACTTGGGTTCCCTAAATATATTACCGCCTAGCACTGCGCGTCGCGTCACGGAGATCTTCGACAACCCGCAGTTCTTCGTGGATGTTACCTACGCGAGGGCCTACATCGAGCTTAAGACACTGGATGATCAAATCGCCAAAGGATGGGTGTTTCTGAGCCATCTCGAAGGACGATATCGTGTCGCTCTGAGGCATGGTGTCGATGCATTTGATGACCCCTTCACGGCCGTCTTTCCGACAGAAATAACTTCAAAATTCTGTCTTTTTGCATGGACAGCCGCCCCTTGTCGTCAAGCAATCTTCCAAGGAATACGGCGGTGACGATGCCGAATCCCGATGGTCACAATGCAAAGCTCGAACTCGGATTCCACCTGCCGGCCCAAGGAGAAGTTCGTATTTCCTCCTGCAGGCTCAGTCGACTGGGAAACATCACTAAAGTGTCTATTCTTTGCCCTCGGGTTCACAAATGTCTCTCGCTCTTCGCGTCAGCGAATATGATCTCAAGCAAGCCCAAGACAGAGTCGACGTCGGGGCGGCTGCACCAGGCATCTCACAACCGCGCAGATCGCGGATTCCTTGACCTCAAATAGTTCTAGTGGGAACAATACTTGCATCTCAGAGAAACACGATGGCTACTACGTCGCCGAAGGAAGTCTCCAGGCCCATTCACCAAGGGCATCAGGACATCCAGCGGTGAACAGTATGATATCCTATTCGAGAGCGTACTACTACGAGGAGAGGAAGGGACGTTCGTCGATAGAGACTTAGCTCCGTTCGTTCTCTGGTGAATATGTAGTTCCACCCTCTTGTATTATCGCCATACTTACACCGCCTCCCCAAGATAGTCCATTGTCCGTCTTCATCTCAGAACGGCGGCGGGTGTTGACTACGACCTTCTAGATTTTAAGATTGTTCATTTATCTTGCCTTCGACGGTCGAAATATCTTTGCTGTGAGTTATTCCTTCGCAACACCGCCGCGAGTGCGAATTTGACACATAGAGCGAAGGATAAATCGTTTTCCTGCCCCCAAATCATCAGGGATTAGGGTTCTCTTACCTTTGCTAATTTTCAGAAGCCAGTCTTCACAGGCCGACCCAGCACAGACGGATTATTCACATCGAGATAAGCCGTATCTTCACTTACATACGCTATATAATACATTGAATATTCCTATCTCCACTCCCAGATGAAATCTTATAAAATATTGTATCTGAACTTCCACGACACCTTCGTCACACCCGACTTGAAGTTCTGAACAACGGTCCAAAATGGATACTTCGCGGGTTCTTCCATGAGACCATCCTCGTACGTCTCTACCTCCAGAGACATAAGGGGCCTGAGGTATTTCCTCTTCCGTGGATACTGGTGGGCCTTTACGACCTTCAAAATAGCGTCCCACCAGAAGTCCTTCTCGCCGCGGTACGTGATCCTCTTGAGGTTGGGTAGGAAGAGCGAGGGCGTACTACGGCCTTTCGAGGTCTTCTCCACGAGCAACTTGAAGAAAATTTCTGTGACTGGCGCCTCGTCAAGATGGAGAGTGCGCAAGCTGTTGAATGTTGAATGACCGAGGAACTTGATGAAGTCGTGCTCCCACCCGTAGCAAAGGTCGAACTTCAGCTCGGAAAGCGCGCAGGCCGAGCGCTCTAAAAACGAGGTTGCGACTCCGATTGGCGAGAATGGCCGGGGGCCCCATGTGTTCAGCGTCAGGCCCTTGAATTCGAGGATGTCGAGGCCAGGAAGGCACATCCTGTCTAGAAACAAAACAAGAGCGTTCTCCGGGCCCCATTCGGGCATGGACTCGAGTGAAAGGTGCCTTAGTGAGGTGTTTGTGACGGTGTGCGACCCATGGCTCTGGATAAGTGAGGCTGAGGCAGGGACCACAACATTCTGTAGCTTTAGGACGCAATGTGCGAGATTCGTTGCCTGTTCCACCGCGAGGGACGCTAAGACGAAGATGTCCGCAAGCCGCGACGTGATAACGAGGTGTGTGAGATTCATGAACCCATCCTCTGAGAGATTAACGTTGATTCCGTCCCTGATGACGAGACGGACTGTCCGTTCGACCAGGGTGTCCTTGGTGGCTGCCTCGCCAGTGGCGCGGGGGACCTCCAGATCGCTGCGGCCTGAGTGTTGTGACATACGAGAATACTGTAGTAGCGATATTAAACCCTGCCTACAATCTACCATGGAGCACACTTACCTTGGTTGAAAGGCCCGTTAGGGAATGAAGACTCAAGAGAGAGGCCTATAGCGAAGCGAGGAATGATTGACGAAAAGTGGCACAGGGTGGGAACTTTTTCCGTGGATTTGACTTGGCGACTTGCGCGTCTTATCAGTGGCCCACTATGCTTGTGGTAAGTCCTTAAGTAAATACTGTGCATTAAAATAATGAACATATTTAATTGTACTCTACCGTCGCGAATACATCCTAGTAGAGGATTGGTGGGGTCAATTATCACTGGTCTCGTTGTCCTCTTGACGTCGGCACATTGAAATATTTGTCGAGCGCCTCCGTCAATTATTGGTAGGCTAGCATCTACCCTGGTTGGAGGTAGGCAGATGCGTTTAGCATATGGGAAGAACACTGGGGGTACGTCAAGGGTAGTGTGTCTTCCGTCGAGCAACTAGTAAGAAATTGACGCTGGCCAACGTCAATTTCTTGTAGTAAATGTGAACTATTTCTTGAAGACATTACTCTCACTCCGACACGGTCATTACCTTTCCTCGCGCAGTCGCGCAGCGTGACATGGAGCATTCTACCCGATAAGGCATAAAATTCCTTTTTGGCTGAATGACGGCAAACTCCGAAGGCGATGTGCGTCAATGGTCATCCATCAGAACTACTTATCGTGTCTGGGAGTAATTTTGGTGAGAGATGGTCAGAGAGACGATCTGTGGGAAGGAGCTGTCATGGCAGACCAGATAAGACGAAGTAAGATTAGATGCGCCTTTTTCTTCCAGCCAAATGCGCATCCTCTCCGTTCCATCGACACGTCTCATGATGGCAGGGCATGGACCGCCCAGTTCTCGCCCACTCGGTCCATGTCATAATACAAGATAACTTCGAGCTCTTCTCTGAATGATACTTCACGTTTTTCAAAACGCGCAAGCGCTGTCGTACCCTCGTTGGCTGTTGTTGAGGCGGCGGTGTGTGCAGTCAGAACGGTCAACGGCAGTCTGAGTCTCTGAAGGATGCTGGGTTCTCAAGGATGTCTCAAGAGCCTGCACAAGAAACCAGGAGGAACTTGGTACATTGATTTGGTGTGACGTGGTGCCAGTTGTAGCTTATGACGACTCTAGGTCTTTTGTGAAGGAAGAACTGTACTCTCCAGAAGATAGGTAAGTGTTCTCATAGCTCTTCTTCGTGGCCAAAGCCTGATTTTGCCACCCCCTTGGACTCTTAGAGCGAGGGGTTAATCGACCATGCACGTCTATAACTCTTTTTCAGATTGCATAGCAGCATCTCACAATTTTTATGGCATTAAAACCATGAGATATAACACCTATAAGTTTACACTGCCTTTGAATCACAGAACCTGTCAGGAATTGGGATCAGGTGTCCCTTCATGGAATTAGGTTTCCTCGCCCCAGTATTCCCTCGAATATACGATCACATCATCGTGTCCCCATCCTCGTTTCGTATCTCGACTTTAACCCCTTCCTTCATCATTTCTTCTAACACACCTAGCACATTTTCCTCGATATAATACCCTGCCGCATCTGCCCCTAACAATATCTCCATGTGCAAGCACTGCAGGATTGGTCGACCATTTTCAGTTTGCCTGTTGGTGACGCGCGTCCGCAAAGAGGAAACAACCGTGGACCAGGGAAACTCGAGAGGACATTGCGGAATGAAGATGTTGAGTTTTTTGAGACAAGGGAGGAATTCAGGTTGTTCGGTATCAGAATGAGCAGGATTGATCCCAAAAACGTGGAAAAAGTCATCATTGAGGGCTATTTCATGCAACTGGAGTTCTTCAAGGGTCGGTACAGTCCATAGGAGCTCGGAAAGATGCGTCTGCCGGACTAAACCATGCTCTCCATTGACGGAAAGGAATGTGATTGGGCATGCCGACCGGACAAGGAAAGACATGAGCGGGGGGAGCGGCTCTATTCCGCCCTCACTATGAAATACTAGGTGTTTCAAGGAGGGAGAGCTGATGCGATCGAGGAATAAGGCGACAGAGTGAGTGAATAACTCAATGTTCAATTTCTCGAGTTGAACAAGGACAATTAAGTTGTTGACGTCTGGAAAATGGCCCATATCTCCGCGTTCATGGATGTAGGCTAGAGTGGATTCGCGAAAGTCGAGGGGCAGCTCTAAAGAGCGCAAGGCATTCATATATGTTTAAATCAGTGATATGGAGCCGTGTAACATTCCTCCAGTCGATCTTGATCCTCGAAAACGAGCAGCTGGAAAGAGAAACAGTTTCTGGTGCGGGAGCGATGCTACTCTCGAGGTCAAAGTGCACAGCATGTGAAACCTGCTCGTATTCTGAAGAGCGAATCGACAAAACGCGGAGTAAGTGTCTTCTAGTGCCGTTAGGAGCAGCCTTGAACAAGGAAAGAATATCGAGGGGGATATTGAGGGACAGGTCTCCCCAGAGGTGCGAATGAGTATTGATAATCCCGATGACACGTTCGTAGAAGTTCAATCGATCCTGGTCGTTTGGACTGTGCTGATGGATGTTCATGGTGATAGACAGCGGCTGGAGGCGCGACCGAGCGAGCCAATTGGATAGAAATTCCTGGTAATTGCTGCGATTTCGAACACTGTCTGGATCGAACTGAATGACGGCCCACAATGACGGGGTTGACCATGCGATGGCTTGCCATCTTCTGGAAACACTCGCAAGCGCTAGCGGAATGCAACTCCGGGATTTGCTAGTGTTCTCAGATACGGATTCGTCCTGCTCATCTACGCAGAGAGAAAAGATACGGCTGGCGATTTCTGTTGGGAAAAGGTTGGTGAAAGGGTCATGGGATGCGTTAATGTCCCGTATTAATGTGGCACGATGCGCCGCAAGATCCTTCAAGAAAGCCTGCGTTTGCGCAATCTCGTCGTCTATGGATCTAAGTTTGAGGAGTAGAGGACACATGGTGGAGTATTTATTCGAACATCCGGAGTTCAGAGTGGTGTTTCGCGGATCGACAGTTTCCTGGGAGTTGCAAGCTAAACATGCCAATGTAGACCCCTGCCCGTCACGAGAAGTCCGTATCAAAACGCTCGAAACCGTGAATCGGCGACTTACCATGTTTGAATCAAACTGTGGCTCTTCCGTTGAATGTCGACGAGTAAGTGAAGTCCGAGTTTAAGTGGCCCAGATTCTAAGGTTCACCGGCAAATGCCGAGATTAGATAAAATTCAGCCTTATCTCACACCACCGTAGGCAATGTGCAGCGACGACTTCTACTGGGAGATATTCGAATTCTTCATCCGCGAGATATGTTGGCCACACATGGAATCCGTACAGGTCAACCAACGCCTTATAAATATTATGGATTACATGAAGAAGAAAGTAACTAAGAAAAGCACAATGGCGAGTAGTATGTAGGCAAAAAGTCAAGTAAAGTAAATCATACAATAGCCTCCCTCCGAAATCAAACCGCCCTCTATGAACCCTTCTTCTCCACCCTCTCCACAACCTGCGCCGGCTTCTTGATCATCACCATCTGCTTCGCCGCGCCTTTCTCATCCCCGTTCTCTTTAGCCCTAACCGAAAATCAAACCCATCTGTATCAGTCATGAGTCCGACATGACGAAAAGTTAAACGAAAACGAACACCCACCTAGCGACCTCTCCGTGATCTAAGTACAGCCTCAACTGCGTGTTAGCCACCCGATTTTCCGCCGTTGCTCTCAGTGCTGTCGAGCATTCCCTCGTCTTGTCCTTCAGGTATGTTTTCGACCTAGTTATTCCCTTCAGAAGCTAGTGTTTCGGCCAGAGGCCAACACCGCCCCCGTGTGTTTGTCGAGGTGTCGAGTGCTGCTTAACCGTGACAGCGAGGGCGAAGATGAGAGCACGCATATTGCCGTTGCCTGCGACACTCGTCAGGTGGAGGATTGTCTGTAGGTGAGACCTGAGGATTCCACATCAGTTTACGAGATCGAAGAACGCAGAAAGAAAGAGAAGAGAATACAGACTTACACCGTTACTGAAAATCCCTGGCTGAACACGCCGTCAACACGATGTCTACTATCTTGAACGTCGCAACCAATTTTCCTCGTCGTCCTCGATGGGGCTGACCACACCAACGGCTACATCTCACCAACGAGAGCTGACACGCAGATCGTGTTCGTCACTGGTATTGGCCGCTGGGGTTGACTTTGTAGTTGGAGTTCGTCTCCAGGACAGGAGGTGGTAACGTGGTAGTGCTTCAACGACCGTTCTGTTTGAGTGACTGCTCGTATGGGATGGGCTTGTTGCAGCGAGATGCTAGCGCTGTAGGCGGAGAAGAGGCAGTACGTTCGTGTGGTCTGAGTAAGATTCTGCGAAAAAGAGCAGAAAAAATATAAGTTTATGCCCGTATCAGGCAATGAATCGGGACATACCTCTTCGTGGTCTTCATGTTCACTTCTAGCGATTCTAACCTACGAAGAAATGGTTTGGGAGTCGGCCGAATTGCGAAGGAGGAAGGGTAAGGATTGACGTTGCCCGATAAGCTCGCAGCACATGTCCGCCTTCATCTTTTGCACTGTCATCTAAATATCTTCAACTTGCAGGCTCGCGATCCGGGCCCAGAGAGGAACTATCAACAACCCATCCAGTCAGTACTGACATCGAAAGATCGAGGAACATACGTGGCGGCTCATTCACCTCTATCGACCAACACCATGCCCTCGCCGGCGAAAACCTTCCACTGCGGCTTCCCAACACTCATAACTAGGAGCCCCGGCGCGAATACGATTGCTGGAAGGGTAACCTGTATCCGCAGCACTGTTAGCCTGCAGCCTAGCGCGACCTCGACGACCCGAATTTCTCAAATGTATCTAGGGACCCGCCGTCGGGCATGTGGTCCAACTTCTTCGTCCGCAATTGGCAGCTGATGTTGTCGGCAGTGTGAGTGTTGTAGATGACGTCGATGACGGGCATTTCGACGATGAAGACCTTCTCGAGGTTCGTTGCTCCTAACAGCGGTGGGGACTTCTCTTGATGGGATGTTGTCGATGGAGATGCCAGCTTGAGGTGCGACGAAACCCCCAACAGTCACTAAAGCTACCTGAGAAGGCGTCAGCGAAACGAAAACGGACAAGGGTTGCTAGATTATGCTTTTTGCGTAACTGCAAGCTGATCAGAACATCAGTTAAAAACGTACTGCTGTCGGTATGGCCACTCTCCACTCCCGGCTTGTTCAACCCAATCCGAGGTTCTACTTTTTCCAGCTACGTCCACGCATAACATTCGGTGGTTGAATCCAGACCAGGGAACGCTAAGCATTTCCGACTTTTTTGTAGTGAAGACCAGGGAGCGAGCAAGGTGTTCGTGTATCGGAGGTCGCGCCAGCAAAGTCTGCAGTATATTCCGGGGGCTAGGCGTGCAATTTCAGGTGGCTTTTTTTCTGTACTTGTTTCTTGAGTTACGGATAGTCAATATAGGAGGTTGTCGTCGACGCTAGGTGGTGCCAGTGGAACAGTTGGCGACTTTCCGCCCCATGCACGTGATGCCTTTGCATTATATAATCCAACGGAGCCGCAAGCCGAACTCAAGCCGTCCACGGCCAGTCAGCTACAGGCCACAGGCCAAGTCACTCCCTTTCGTGTGTCAACTTGAAGTTTACAAGTCCGGCTACAGCAATGTGTACTGAACAATGTATTCTTCAATCACAAATATGACACCACGGCCACCAGTGAAGTACTACACGAACACAAATGCGCAGAGAGCTCTCATAGTCGCACCTTAACCGAGCCTTAATGGCCTCGTTTGTTCCCAGTTGTCCCCCCTGAAATAATATAATGATGAACGCAAGAATCAAATGAGTTCCTTATGCCTAATGGTGTCAGTGAAAGTCCTGAAGGTTGATAGCTGCAGGATCGAAGTGCTCGGATCCCCCCCATTGACAACGCGAGAAGACTTCGGTGTGGAGTGGCAATGTTCAGCACAGGAGCAAGAGCAGCACTATTGAAACGGGGGGGAGTGGATTCATGAATCCCAGACTCAAAATGGTAGCTGGTGGAGGGTGGGGTAGCTGAGGTAGGAAAATGAGGGACAGCGAGATGATGGAAAGGAGGAAAGAAGGAACGAGGTGAGTGGCATATTTCCCGCTTTAAGTTCGAGGCCACAACCATGGGCTGGCCAGCCGAAAAACATGCCGAGCGGAGTTCGTTGCTCGAGCATTACATAAGAATTGGCGGATCACGTGCATGGGGCGGAAAGTCAAAACCTCAGTGGAACTATCGAGGAGTGAGGTCACACTCCGTGACCAGTCGTGTACTCGGGTCATGGCAGCGAGCGACTTATGCTGAATCGGCTTCCTCATTAAATGCACGAGCAGACAATCGCATAGCCATGTTCAGCGGATAAGGATTATCCTAGTGGAAGACGTGAGTAGTACTTCTCTTCTTATCCCCCATTTGAACTCACGCGATGGGCCTCATCTTCAAGCTCATATATATGTTAACTCTTCGTGCCGTCTGGCGGCGTTGGCCCAGTGGGGTAGCAATGCTCGTTCTTTGTCCTAACATTTGCACCTCAGAAGGGCCGAAAGTCACCGTCCCTTCTCTCAACAAGCAAGATCAGATACCGACTATTGGCCCTCCTCAGGTTCCCCAACGGTGATCAGTTGAACTGCTTGGTTCCGTCATTCTCGTGCCTCCTTCGTATCCCACTGGACCATAGAACGGGTGGAACCTCACGGAATCGGAATGAAATGATGGCGACTTTCGAGGGCATCTGGGGACGGGGTAATCTGGTAGAGAAAACGACTCCTTCAAAGAGAGGTACGTGACCTTCAAGCTTCAAGCTCAAGTTCCATAGATTCATTCCTCCCCCATTCCACGTCCCCGCGTCGCTTTCTTGAGCGATTTTTCCACGTTTCTCCGCACACACACGTTCCTGCCTCCCCCTTTTCCGACGTCATGTTGATCTGGTATTGGCACGTTCCTCCGGGATTGAGAGCGTTCTTCCTACTACGTCTTCATCTTCCAACCATTTTCGTCTATCGCCTGCATTTTACTCCGTGCTTACAATGCCCTTTTCTTCCTCAGAGCCCGTTCGTCTCATCTATTTTCACTGCACTGAAGGTTTGTTCCTTTCCTGATGCCCTGTTCTGTGTGTGATTCGCCACAATCGTGGCCTCTTCTCATCCTTGGAACATAGACGTCGTATGAATGGTATCCCCCTTCGTGTGCCTCAAAGTTTCCCACCTCAAGATGTCCTACATTACTGGGACGGACTTCTGCTACGATGGTCTCGGGTATACTCAATCGCAAAAGAAAACATATCCGTCATCCCACCCCTGTGGAGCAACTCGCAAGAGCCTGCGAGCGATGGTCCGCTAACTGACGCGTATAAAGAAGGGAAAGTGATTCAGATGGGCCTCATATTTGTGTGGTCGAATAAGAACTCCCACTCAGTACGTGTTCTTCCAGCTTCCAAGGTTTCTATATACCCCTCTTCTCTCCTTCCTCCTTCGTTCTTCGTGTCCTCTTTACCTACTTCGTGCTTCTTCGTTCGGTTCTTCTGACCCCCTCGCCCCCTTACCCGTTGTTCTTCAGGCTGACACGTGCATTTAATATGCAGACCTTTCTGCCATCTACGGCTTGACCTCTAGCAGGTCCATTCCCTGGCATTTTAGCACCTTTCGGTTTGTCGGCCATGTCTTTTGGATGCGAAGATGAACACTAACAGCGCTCCCAACTCATCGCAGCAGCAATTCGCGCCGATAGTGTGAGCCATCAACAACACACACCCCTGAAGTGCGCTGCTGTCCAAGGTCTTCCAAGTTCGGCTGTCCGACGACACCGTGCCTGGAAGAAGTATGGCTAGTATTTGCGTGCTAGATGACTAAATACGAAGACGGCGATCTTTGACAAGATTCGCCTTCTGTGAACGGATGAGTCGTGGAATCTGAGCCGGATACCCGCTTCCAGGCTCGGCGAACTATCTTGTGCGTGTTTTCCTTCTTGGTTCATGTCGTACGCTCTTCTCATTCCATCGTTTCAGGAGTTTCGTTTGCGGGTCTTCTTGCTGTATAACTACGGCTGTACGCCCCAGAGAGCACGACGATGAAGTCTTCTTCTACCTCTTGATACAACTTTGATGTATCCTGCTTTGTCCTATACAATATCTTCTACCGGCCAGACGCCCCCTTCTCGGTAGGCATGGGCAGCCAACGAGCGCATGGTTTCTCTCATCGTTGACAAGAGATCGGACATTTGCCATTTTATCGAGCTCCTGGGCACAAGAATCTGACGGTCTATTGAGCATCTGCATAACCTTGATGTTCCTCGTCTTGTGTTGACAATTATATTCATAGATGCCTCAGATGACTGTCGCTCACACACGATACCGAACGCCGTGATCTGGCATCATGAAGAACACAGGCGGCACCATCTCCAATACGTAGCCTTTTACCGGAAGTGGCGTCTCGCTCCCTTCAAAGTTGTCCGCGTCTCGGTGCATCATCTCGCTCTCCAACTCCCACTGATTTCATGCCTGAAGGTGACGGATTTCTCCTATCTACGAAGTCTTCTTCTTTTAATCGTCCTCAAAAATATTCACAGAGTGCGATTCAAGGTTTTGTTCCCAATGATAGAGGAAGGCCAAAGGGCCGTCCATGGCAGGAATTGGAAGTAGTAAGTAGAACCTTTGTGATTGATATTTACTCAACTACTTGCTATGAATTCCATCATCGTCGCTGTCCGAGTCGCCTGAGTCGTCGTCCTCGCCAAACCCCACTTCCACGCCTTCTTCCTCTGATTCCATCTCCACGTCTCCATCATCCTCCTCTGGCTCGGGGCTTGAGCGCTCAGCATTCCTCGTCGAGCGTTGCTGCTGCTGCCGGCCAAGGTCCATCATCTCCTGTGGCGTAAGCGAGGCGTTCATGCACCTCTCGTCACTTGGGCTCGCAAACCTTGTCGCAAAGCTGAATTTGAGGTTTTCCTGGATGTATTTCGCGATCTCGGAAGCAGGAACTGGTGAACCACGAGGAAACCGGCCATCATATTGGGAGCGCTTGTGCAACAGCTGGGCTGCAAGCACCTGGAAATGGGAAATGGGTAGGAATGAATGAGGATGTGTGTACATGGGCTTACCTCCATGAGGTTCTTGAAGCAACGGAAAGCTTCGCTGGATAGACGCAGTTCGCTTCGGAATGTCCCATTCGCCTCGACGTATGGACATGGGATCCCGCCGATTCGCAGCACGACTTCCCATAATTCCTTCACACCTTCTTCTCCCTCCTTGTCTAGCTTATATTCTGGCGAATCAGTGTCAATCTATTGCATATGAACATTAAAGCTGTAGTTGAGGAGCACGTAGAACAGGTGGCGGGCACTTACCTGCTCGGCCTGATGCTGATTCTTCCATGGACTGTAGTCAATATTACAGCTCCGGTGACTGTAACTGATAACTTACCAACATTTCGGCTTCGTTTCAAAGATCGTTGTGGACTAGGTGAGGGGAAAGCAAAAGTCGGAGGCATCACGAGGCGCGGCTAACTAATAGCTCTGCAGTGAGGCATCCGCATGTCTTCACTAAATTATTATTATAAGGGTACATAACTGTATTTGAATCTTCTTTCTCTTTATTGTATTCCTGTGAATAGTGTGAAGGAATTGTTTTCGTTCATGAATCGTGACGAACTTGGAATATGTAGATAGAGTACATACCGGCAGACCACGGTGCCGGCCACGGGCTTTCCTGTTTGGGTAGCCGCTGCGTACGCGTAATCCTTGGTTTGAATTTCCTCTTTTCCCCAACCTTTTCCACGACAATGCGGTCCTCACAATTTTAATTCTCATATTGAAGTTCTCCACTAACTAAGGTAATTCAGCTCACTGGATGGACGTCCGAGAATCTGATTGAATCCCCAAATAGTCCAAGCCTCGAAGCACAAATCCCTCTTCATACAGGCCTCAAGGAACTACCACAACCGCATACGGGGAAGGATTTGAAGTGAAAGGAAGTCTTCTAGGAGGTGAAGAAGGGTAGCGTAGGGTATAGCTCTACATGCATCCAAAGCGGACTCAGTCTCGCCCCCATTCTCTGTAAATTCAGAGAAACTGAACAATTGAAACCAATGTCTACAGCCTGTGCGAGCTTCTCGTCTATCAGCACCTACTTCGTCGACCGTTTCTCGCTGACTACTCTCTTTTTTCCGTTCTGTTCAAACATAAGAAATCAATGTCAGTCATGATTTCGGTACGGCGAGAGCAAAAAGAAACACTAACATGGAGACCTCTCCGTTATCCGCAACCTCACACATGCATTCTCCGCCCCATTCGTTGTCGTTGCTGTTGGCCAGAGGGCACGTCTTCGCCTTGCCCTTCCCGTTGGAGCCGGTAACTTCCTTCGAAGGCGTAGGGTCAGCCCAAGACCGAGGGCACTGTTTTCTGCGACCTTGAGCATCGTCTCCGCGTATTCCGTCGATCAGTTCCTCTACACATCGACGGAGAGTGTGTCGGTAGGCGCATGCAGTCATTGCACCCTGGTTGCAGGATGGTTCTTAATGATGTCCTACACCCCAGATAGATTAGTTTTGGATGCCAAAGGGCGCGACGAGAGGAAAGGAAACGCACGTAGTGACAAAAAATTCCTTCGCAAAATCCAATGTCTCGCATAAGGTCTAATGCTTCTTCAAGGTATCCATATCAGCCACGAACCCGATGTTGTCGTCAAGCCACCAGCAAACAATGCCAGCAGACGGCCACGTCTATACGAGACTACTACGTTAACGCCTCAGCTCGCGCTGGGTCTGCCAGTATGACCGAGGACGAGGAGAAGGAGGCGCCGCAGGTGTTCAGGAAGTCCGACGGCTGATATAGGAGCAGTACTAGATGGACAAGAGATCGCAGGTCCGAGTACTTATATGCGTTGACCCGAGCAATAATCTGCGAAATGGGAAACAAGAGTGAGTATATATGCGCGTATATAGTGGTGTAGAAACTTACCCGTTCCGCGCCATTAAAGGTGATGAAAGCCCGCAAGGAAAATAGGACGATAGGCGGTCGAATATATATTATGTCGCCCTTCATCGGACATCTTCTACATCGTCATTTGGATCTCTCGCACATCCGCGAAGGAGGCCCACAGCGAAACTGCCACCTGATCAGCACATTGACCAAAAATTCAACGAGGAGAAACTTACAAGCACCTCCTGTAAGGCAACACTATGCCATCATCCGCAAAGATATCCCTCTTCGGGTGTGGAACTCGCATTTATAGCGGCACCGCGCCACCTAACCCAGTTAATGGCCCCAAACTGCCTGAACACGTCACTATCTCGTGCCCCGCCATCGACCATGTCGTGTAACTTCTTCGCTCGAGATTGAGAGATGGCGTTGTCGCCGCTGGAGTGCTAGACGACGCCGCTGGAGGTCGCGTATGACTGGGACTTTATTTTCTTGAGGTCTGTGATGCCTGGTAGCCTCAGGTGCGAAGCGCGAAGTGAGGCCCAGTAAATCCTTGACCCGCCAAGGACAGCCCGACGTTGCCCAACAGCCCAGCTCAAAGCTCGTGATGCTTGAAAAACGTGTTGAGGATAACCCACTAAGACCTATCGTTCGTCGCCAGCGGGTGGAGAGCAGTCGTTGAATACAGAATGATGGCGGTCGACGTTGGTCGTAGCTGGGGCGGATGCAATGGCGGAGACGTAGATAAGGTGGATGAAGCACTGGACGTATGGTAGGCCGGGCAAAAGGGCGAAAAGAGGCGATGTGCTGCTTGAAGATGCGTGGAATAAATTAAGTGTCGTTGGGCGAGTTGAGCTTCGAGAGGTCGAGTTCCTTCTCCTTGTAGGAACCACCTACAGACGACGATCGGATATTCGTCGTGCTGCTGGGTCACCCCACTTCATCGCTGGCCACGACGTTCTTGTCCGTAGATGCTCGTGCAGTCATTGATGATAGAGTCCGCCCTTGCGCTGCAACCAGGCCTGCGCGTACGCCGTCCTGAAGGTGGAGAAGGTTTGGACAGCGAGGAACGTGGAAATATTCGAAGGGCTGGCATACGACGTAAGTATTCGTGCCAATTTCAGGACGTATAGACCACTTACCTCGGTGCCCAGTTGCTGCGAGCCACCACGTTGCCCGAATCCCGCCGTCGATCCTCATCGAGATAGGCCCTCGTTCCACGACGGGGTACCGTTGCTAAGCTCGAACATTCTGTGTTGTATGATACTTCGATGCACTCGATGAGGTCGTGATGCAGAGGCTCGAGGGGGCAGGCAACTAGAGTGCACAATGTGAGTACTCCTTCTCATTCACAAGATCCACCGTCAGACCTGTCATACTCGTGAAGGTGTTGCCTGCATCGACAAGTAATGAGTTGGCAGTCATTCCTTCTTCTAAACTCCCCACTAACGCCAAATTTTGCGCTGTAGGACGATTGGTTTACTCAGACGGCATGGACACAGGAATAGAAGTACGTACTTCGCTCTCACATTGTCGCCCTGGATCCAGGTGTTGCTTATGAGGTTGTTCACTGACTCGGGCTCCCGCAGTGGGACTCAAGGTAAAATCTTCGTTCATCGTGCCAACGTTGGTGCTGACGTCCGTTTTATGCGCCACAGAAGTCGTCGAGCATGCGCTTTCCTTATGTAAAAGGAGGGGTCAACGTAGCGAACGAGATAAAAACGGGCGGTACGTACCATACGGTGAACTCTAGTCGCCGTCATGTTCTTGTCCCCACCCTCAGAGGCGGCGCAGACCCATAGCCATGCCCCTCGCCAACACCGAACTTTGAAGATGCCGACGACGATCCCGAGAAGGTGTTGGGTCTCATAGGGTGTTAAGGTCGTGAGTGCACTCTTTTTTGCACTCTGCCCGGACCTGGCTTCTCTCATGAATCTGCAGATCCTCCTGGCGAATTCCATCGGTTCTGCGGCGCTCGACGAATGTGACAGTGGACGGGGTAGAAGGACGATGCCGTTGGCGCGGATGAGACAAGGGAAGTGCGAGAGAAGAGAGGGGCAGACGATGACGGTAATATCTGGAGAGGAGAGCGCATCATAGTTGGCAAATAGTAAGAGAGAGGCTGTCTCGGTGGCGTTTGAGTGGGAAGGACGAAGATGTCACGCGTTCACTGTCCGTGATGCACAGAATCACATCTCCCTCCTCGGACCTCGACCATGTTGACAAGAGGGCTGCCAATGGACGGCTTTTCTAAGTCTCAAGAAACGGCTGATTCTCTCCATGTACGTGTCATTCCGCCTCGTGTTCCTTCCTCATCCGCGTATGCAGAGGCTCATGTCTCTTTTATCTCGCTTAGCATATGTCCTTGTGCAGACCGATGCACCTTTCTTCAAACCCCTCCTCTGCCAAAAGAATCGCCCAAAACACCCTCAAGAAGTCCCCCAACAAGCCACATTCTTCAATCCAAGTCCTCTCACATTCTCGGCCCCATCCATCTTGCCGACTTCCAGAGTCAATCGTTTCGAACATCAGTGATGCTATGGGTTCCCTCCTTCACCGCCCATGGCGAATAACGGGCACCAGAAAGTCCTCTTCCATGGTCCTCAAGCTGCAATAGCTTCTTTAAGCCATGCTTTGGTGCAATTTCGGGCACTCCTCACCGCCCGTCGAAGATTTGCTGGTCCATTGCTCTGAACCCGGGCCAGCAGCTACGCCTACAGGACCCACCTCAACCTCGACCCAAGTGGCTTAAACATAGGCTCCAATTTCCACCCATACCTGTGGCAACTTCCAACACCGAGTTTCGCAAGAAGAACCTGTTTGTCGTTCTCGACAGCAGACCATTGGACGTGCTTGAGATGAGCTAGGTCGTCGGCAGGATCCCGAGTGTTGAAACGTTGAAAGCCGAAGCCGAAGAGAAGGGCACGCGCGATCATGGGTATTGTTGCTTGATAAGAAGGTCAAGAAAGAGATTCGCGGTGCGCTTCTTATTCATTCTTTTTTTTTTTTTTTGTCTCTATGCTTATAGGGCATGACTTGGACAGATGCTTGTAGGCCTCCATCACGAACATGCAAGAAATTCAGATAACGGCGCATGAGATGAAGATGAGATGAAGGTAACCTTCAGTCCTGACGTTCTTCCTTTGGAGCTCGACTGACTGTTACCGTGTTTTTCATAGTCGCGATTGCTTGAAGAGAACGTGTACGCCCCAACCACTTGAACACAAGCGCAGATATTTACTCTTTTTTTCAGACTCTTACTCAACTCATTGTTTGTATTCGAACTCGTGGCCTTTTCTCTGCCTCCAGCACCTCATGAAACTAGTCTATCACATGTACCGGCGCAGACACTAAGCATTCAAGTACTACCACGTTGCGATCCTTTCGTCTCGGAAATGAACGCTGTCAGCCAGGGATCCTTCTATCTAATCAACTGGCAGTCAGCACCAACAACGACAACGACGAAGAAGGAGTCAGAGCTGCGAAGACGCCTTGGTCACCATTTCGGTTCGTGTTGTGCTTGCCGCCAGCATTGAGGCCGATTCAATATTCAGGAAAGGAGAAGACGTTGAAGAGGAAGCGGGTTCGGAGGTCGCCACGGATGTAAAGAGATTTAAAGGATCGTTGCAGTTCTTGGTTCAGTTCTGGCTGCTTGTCTCTCGCAGGTTTTCTTGCGCCTGACGTGCGTTGCTCGCCTCTCGTACCTGCCAAAAAAAACACTTATCAATGCTCTTTCGTACAGAATGTATCTGCAAAAAACTCTGCAGTTAGCGGCCCGCCACAACCACGTGCCGACGCTGATTCTCTCTCGTCGTCTCCTCTAAGTACCACACACCACACACCACCGCCACGCGACATGCAGAGATGATGCCGACAACTACAGGGCGACCTGCGGCCCATGCCCCCGGAAGAACGTGAGCGAATGACGGGCGAATGCGAAGGGAGGGACGGATACTTCTCCTGAGACCCAACATAGCAAACTCTCTGGACATGAAGATCTGTGACAAGTCTCCAGGCAGATCTTTTCACTCCTCTGTTCGTGTCGAAGCTGCAACTGTGGGTTTACCGTGGGTACGAATTTTGAACGGAACTCAAGTACAACGCAAGCGGAGAGCTAGCAATGAGAACGGTGAAACATAGCGGGTCCAAATGAACGAGAAGCTGGCGTAGGATGTGACGAGGGTGCAGGATGCAGAAGCAAAGGTCCAGGCAGGCCCGATACTGGGCAACCTGGCCGCGCACGGTGGAGCATCTTCTCTCTTTCTTCCTGTGCGAGTTTGAGTGCGCATTTTGATTACGTAATGAACATCCTCTTCGAATTTTGCCTCAGGGGTTGCGTTGTTCCACCACTACCACCACCTTGAAACCATCCTGACCGTAGGCCGGATCTCTCAGCTCTTCAGCAAGAAAGCCTAGTAGGTAAATTATATTCATATTCTTTACATAATAAACGAGCGAGTGTAAATGCAAAGAGTAATATGCCGCTGCGTTGCTGACCGCCTAGCTAGTGTCTACGCCGTCCTCTGTACCATGATATCTACAACTAGCTAGAGCTTACCAAACGCAAACTCGTTTCGAACCCTCATTATTTCCCGAATCTCAATTGTTCGTGGAACTGTCTCGAGTATCCGAGCATATCCACAGTACCGTGCAATATCTTTATGTCCATTCCGCGCTCCGCCAAACGACAAATATAGAGGGTAGCAAGCTCGTCGATGCATCTCAGCCATGGGATGGAAATATTGTCCTTTTGCACAGTCCTGGCCATATCCACGTCGAGAGTAATTGAGCGAAAGACAGACCGTCCATCTTCTGCCCTAATGCTCTGTCTCGAGTCTATAAATCTGATGAACGAGAGCCAGCCGAATGTCAATTTGCCGGCATACGAGAGCTGCCTGAGCTTGGGAAGGAATATGGCCTTGTTCGAGGCGGCGTCAATGGGAGAGATGATGTCGAAGAAGTCCTTCCGCAGATGGGTGATATCGAGGTGAAGGTCTTCGACAGTCGGAGCAGCACGCAGCGTCTCGAAAAGGCTTCCATCCGTTGCGACACCCTCATGTGAATGGCAGGTGATCGAGAGATAGGTGAGGGGGGACGATGAGCGAGTCAAAAGTCTCGCCAGAGGGGTGTAATCCTGCAAGTCGAACTCGTACTCTAGGTGCCTCAGTACGGGAAGCGAAATCCTGTCGAGAAGAGCATTTGCTCTATCGATGTCATCGGCGAAGTGGATCTCGAATTGGACAAGGCAAGGGAGGATGATGGGGTTATCGAGGTGGAGAATACCCATGTCGTTGCTAATCCTGAGTGAACACTCGGTGATTTGGGGAGCCTGCTGGAAGATACAGAGACAATCGATGACGGATATGCCCCCAAAATGTAGCATTGTGACATGGGACCAATTGATTCGTATTGACGCGAACGGGAATCCTTCAATCGAGACGTCTTGAAGAAGAGGAGGTACAGTGCAGATGTCAAAGGTTTCTCCTTGGTGTTGCAGTGCATTATTTTCGACGCGGTAGGGCGGGTTGATTGTTAGCCGCTTCAAGAGCGGTACCTCATGTGTGGCACGGAGATGGGGAACCAGCGAGAATGGCATGGCGAGACTCAAGGACTCCCAGCGCAGAGAATACTCATTTAAGGTGTTGACAATGTTTGTGAAGTTTGTGGTGTGGCGGGAAGAGTCCGAGTCAGTGGCATCAAAGGAGATATGGACGGAAAGTGGAAGCTGACCCGCTCGTCCTATCCACTGAACGAGAAGCTCCTTCGGGAGGTGGAATGACTCTTCGAACTTGTTGAGATCAACTGGGACTTCTGTCCATAACCTCGGCGTCGACCATGCAATCTGCCGCCACCTCCTCGACACAGCACCAAGAGTCAGGGGAGCCCGATGTTGATCTTGGAGAGTCTCTGCATCGGCGACGGCGAGTACGAAGATGTGAGAGGCGACTTCTGGAGGGAGTCGGTGGGTGAAATAGTCGTGCGTGTGGTTGTGGTTGAACTTGAGGAGGTCGATGTGCGCTTCAAGGTGATTCAAGAAAGCTTTGGTGTCCGCAATCTGAGCTTCGAGGTTCTTGAGCTCGAGGCAGGAATAGCACATGAGACTGCCTCTTGGAGGAACGACTGGGTATCGACTTCCATGGCCACTAGTACCATCTGCGCCACAGATGGTACATAGACACATGGTTGGACTCTTGAGCAACGTTCGAAGAGTAACTTCCCCTGCCACGGGATTATTATAGGACCGAGGAACAAGGCTGGGTCCCCCTGATGACTGGTACTGATGGACGAATAAGACGCCAGATGTTTGGAGGAGAAGAAAGACGGACATATTTTATGAGGGCTTTTATTATCTCCCTATTTGCTTTTGTCGGAAAAGAGAGGATCAAGGAGCTGAGGACCAGAAATGAACAATTCGAAGTCGAAGTCGATGGCGAAGTCCAAGAGAGTGACGTGACTTGCCTCTAACACTAGCTGGTGATGACGTGACTGGAAAATCTCAAAGACTTGCGCGTTCACCAGATCCATCGAAGACCTCGTACCGGCAGTCTGAAGGCCCTACAAAACCGGAAAGCGCTTGAAGTAAGTCTCATTTTTGACTTTATTTATACGTGATCTGATCCATGAGCTGTTCATGGTCACTAGACCACACTGCGTCTTGTAAAAAATTTGAACTTCAATTGCTTTGGAATCGGCTGTTCCAATAAGGTGCCTTTTCCCGTTCTTAGGTGAACAATAACCACCTAACAATAGTCGTTACATCACTCAATGTCCCTAAGATGACCGGTGACTTCACGTGCGCCACTTGTGGCAAGGAAGGAGGCTTTCGAGACAAATATCCTACTGTCAACTGTGCACCGTGGAGAAAATCTACTTCTCTATGCATTCCTTGTGTCAAATTGAAAAACGTGGAAGATCAAATCACCCCAACTCACGCTTTTCTTAGGCATCTGGAAGCACACCGTGCTGCCTTAAAGCCCGAGGTCAACGCATCCCACGACCCCTTTTCAAGCCTTCTCCCTACCGAGCTCGCTTCACGGATCCTTACTCTGTGCATAGGTCGCCCCAGCCAGATTCCTGGCCCGAATTTGGCCCCATTGAAAGTAGCTGCCGTTTCCAGACGTTGGAGAGCTGTTGCGTGTTCAACTGCGTCCTTGTGGACGTTCATTTGCCTTCGCCCTGATACGATTACCGACCGGTATTCGTACGAAATTTTCTTGAAACGGTGGCTTTCGCGGTCGGCCGGCCCAACAACCACTGGAAATTTATCTGAACGTTCAGTATTGCAGCATCAATAATTATGTTAAGCTCTGCGAGTCTATCATCGAGACTCTGAATGAACACTCCTCTCGATGGGCTAGCCTTTCCTTGAAGGTACCCCTTCATCTAGTACGTCTCTTCAAGGGGGGACCGACAGCACTCCACCATCTTGAGAAGCTTTCGATCTGTCCTCCCGCCCATCTCGACAACAATCGCGATGCCAATCGTCTTGACCTCGGGTCCCCACTTCCCTCCCTCAAAAACGTGTCGGTTTCCGGCTTCAGACTTCGAAATATATTTGTCAACTGGAGGAACGTCACCACCGTATCTATCTCACGCATGCAGATAAATGAGTGCCTTGAGCTCCTCAAGAGCACCCAACATCTCCGCGAATGCACATTGGAGAATATCAGCGAATCCGACCCTGGCGCTGAGGATCCCGAGTCACCCATCGTCATGGAGCATCTTGCAAAGATGGACGTCAACATCACTGCCCACTTCACATTCCCCTTCTTCGATTATCTCATCCTCCCATCACTGAATTCGTTGATTTACTGTGGTCGAGAACAGCCACTAGATCCGCTTACTTCCCTCATCCTCCGCTCTTCGTGCCCTATCAGAGCTCTAAGCGTCGGCGAACCCCAATGTTATGGGCATGAGCTCGATCTTTACGACCTCCTCTGGTCCGTACCCACTGTTGAAGAGCTAGGACTCCATGATATCTACCTCTCTGATGGCTTCTTCGAGTTGCTTGCACGACCCATCACCGACAGGGAAGGGTCCGAAGAACCAAACTTCCTTCCGTTGCTTGCAAAGTTTTATGTTAATCCTCCAAGTGATCCAACAGGGTTTTCGTGGACCGCCGTTCAGAGGGCCCTCGAAGAGAGGATCTTAAGCAAAATAGCAGAAGGCAAGCAACCCTTGCTAAGGCAAGTCCACTTCGAAATGTATGTCGAGACAGACGAAGATGGATATCATATCGACGTCGCCGCCCTCGAGACTTTCCAGCGTATTGTCGACAGCGATGTCAAATTTGGCATTTCCAACGCATATGGCTTGCATGAGTCAACCGATGTGATTTCGTATTCGAGGGCATATCATGAAGCGAAGCCTCTGTCCAACGACACGTAGTTCCAAGGTGCATGTCTTATTTCATTTGTACCTTACATGGTGGTTAGTTGTCTTGTTGATTAATTAATATTATCGTGGACTAGGAAATTAGTTGTCGTTGTCGTAGATGCTTTTTTGGCTGAGGTTGGGGTGTTCTGTGGGATGACGGCCCGGATAGCCGACGAGATCAAATCGGAATCTCAAACGTTTCAACTCCCAACCACAAGCATGGTACAATCCTTGCCTCTTCTGATTCCTAGTACCCTTGTTGAAACTGACCCCTTGGACTAGCAGATGGCGCCTTTGCCAGAAGAGACTAAGCTTGCTCGGAACATTCGCGCTGTCGTCGAACGGAGGGCTGCATCTTTGGGATCTGGAGTAACACGTCGCCTCCGTGCTCTGAAACGTTAAGAGGGGTCAAATTCGAGGTATACATATGCGCCTCTCAATTACAAGCTTAGCTCATTTATCAAGTCGATGGCACCCCTGGGCTCGGAGCTCTTGTTAGGCTTGTTTGTCAGACACCGGGAGGCGAACAAGTACGAGGTATTTATTCTATCTCGCTTCCGCTCCTTGTATTTTTGTCCACTTACCTCGACCCCGCTGAAGTAATGGCATCCAAAGCTCGTAGCGCCACTTTGACCTCTATAGACGAGAAGGTTGTCATTGACACGCCGATTACTCGAAGCCCTCTATGAGACTCTGGGTTTACGGACAGCAGCTTCCCGAAATCCAGGTCGCCTACACGAGGCTACTCTACAGACTCGAGTTTCGATCCAGAGACGACAATTCCACCAAACCACCGATACCGGACGCTGGTGCTATGCTTCGACGGAACAGGTGCGCTCTTTCATTATTCTCCAGAAACTTTTTTTTCTGACTGACGTACACCATCGGATAGGCGACCAGTTTGATGATGATGTTAGTTCCCTCCAATTCTTTTCTATCCTCTGCTCAGAACCGCCACCGACGTGCAGAGCTCGAACATCGTCAACTTCTTCTCCATGCTGAAGAAAGACGACCCACGCGAGCAGCTCGTCTACTACCAAGTACTGACACCACCATCACACAATCACCATCCCTCCCATCTGACTATACAATCGTCTGTTCTAGGCGGGAATTGGGACGTACACGATTCCACAGATTGCCAAACCGATGATGGCGAAATTGCACAAGGTCATGGACAGCATGGTCGGTGTCCACTTGAACGCTCACGTCATGGGTGGGTGTTGGAGCTTTCTTTCGTTCGGGCTGTTATTCGGACGCCAAACTGACTTGGACGTTTTGCGAGTAGGCGGGTATGAATTTCTCATGCAAAATTGTATGGGCCATTTGCTGTATTCGAAGGAGTCGCTGATGCAATTTGTCAACTCCAGACGAAGCAGGCGATAAGATTTCCCTCTTCGGTACGTTGTAACTCCTTCTTTCGCCCAAGGTTCGTTCTAACGGTTGATTGTTAGGCTTTTCGCGTGGCGCATGTACGTCCATCTTGCACTGTCAACAAATATCGGTTTAAAACGTCTAGTTAGACACCGCACGAGCACTAGCTGGGATGTAAGATACTCGGAATACTGCATTTTCTATCTGCTGAACGCTACCTACTCTAGGATACACAAGGTCTGCTTCGTGATATCTACACAACACTCTCAAAACTAAATAGCAGCCGGTCACAGGTTGGCTTGTTGCCTAAATGTAACCATCAACAAGTACCCTTCGCATATAAGATGTACTCTCGAGAAGACGAGACAGGTTGGCTTCAGAGTTCGGCGTTCAAGAAAGCCTTCTCGATAGACGTTGACATCGAGTTAATTGGCGTCTGGTATGTGGCTACCACGGGCAAGTCATTGATCTTTCGCTCATGCTCTCCCAAATTCAAAGGGACACTGTTGGTTCTGTTGGCGTCATCCCCAAGCGATTACTATTCACGACATTTAACACCCATGTCAAGCACTTCCGTCACGCCCTCGCACTAGACGAGCACCGCGTCCGATTCAAACCCAATTTCTTCAACCGCCCTACTCACGAGGAGATCGAGCTCGGCCTTAAATGGGGCGAGATCCCGAAAGTCAAGGCCAGCCAACCACAGAAGTCCCACCGTCGCAAGACTCTCAGAGAGCTCGAGCGGCAGTATGGGCATGGTGGTCAGCACCAGACTGATGTCGAGGAGGTTTGGTTTGCCGGGTGCCATTGTAGTAAGCTTATGCATTTTTTATCAAGTGAGAAAAGGAAATGAATACACTGCCCGTAGACGTTGGCGGCGGCGCAGTCAAGAACGAAATACGTAACAACCTAGCTCGAATCTCTCTCCGGTGGATGGTGCGTGAATGTTTTAAGCTCAAGACCGGCATCCTCTTCCACCGCGACACCTTCAAAGTAATTGGGATGGACCCTAGCACACTCTGGCCCGAGGTCAAAGAGTGCCCAGAACCAGTGACATCGTTCTCGGACCAGCCACCACCGCTGACACGACCGCTCCCACAGGTAGGTGTCAAAACCAATTCGGAAGACGTCAGCGACTTTGTCAGTGAGGAGGAAGAAGACCTCGCTGACGCCCTGAGTCCGATAAATGATATGTTGAATATATCGAAGGCTGGTGGATCATGGAGTACATCCCGCAGAAGATTTGGTTCCAGAAGGACGATGATTCGTGGGTGCGGAAGCTCTCGTACGTCTTGTCTTCATGGCTGGTACCTTTCATTTATCCGAGATTTATTTAGGATCAACCGTGGTCGTGGACGCATCATACCCAAACAGAAGATTGAAGGCGTGAAGATACATCGGACCGTCCAGCTAAGGATGGGTAGCCTGTCCGTACGAACCGAGGGCTAAACTGATCGCTGGCGTTCAGCCTACTTGGGTTCCCTGATCATCCGCCTCAATGAAAGAAGGTCCTATACCTACTATATATATGTCAATGCGCTAGTCAAACTAACTATATAGTATTTGTTTTTATCGTCTGCATTATTCGCGAGGTCAGCTGGCGGAGTTGGACACCGTCCAACTGTCCCTCTGAGCAACTGCAGTGATTGTTCGTCCTGTTCCTCGAATTTATTCCGAATATTCCATGTTTCCAAGCACAATAACCTGAGGCCTGGGCGCTTGAATAGTTGGCCGAGTGTGCTTAGTCGCTCTTTTTCAAAGTTTTTGTGAGTCGGAAGCCCTCATGAGCTCCCGGGACGGGCGGTCCGGGATCACGCCTGCCATTCCTTACGAAATTATTGCTTCTCACCGTCTTCCTTATGTTTCATCACATGGACCACCTCATGCATTTTCTAAATGTCTTCTCGGGAGACCCCACGAGAACTCATAGAAGCCAAATACTTATAATAGTTGCCGGGCGACCTAGAAGGCTCTTAAAGTCGACCTGCTTCGTGGCCACTTCCTCCATCCTGGATCGACTGAGTATCGGCGTTCGCGATGGTTCTCCTGGCTAATCTAGCGCTAGTTCTGTCCCTTTTGCGTCTGGTACAGGCGTGGAATACGTTCAAGGTGCAACATACCCCCGGAGAGGACGATACGCCAGCCTTGCTTGCTGCGCTCCCGAATTTGACGGCCGACACCACTATTCTGTTCGAAGAGGGCATCACCTACAACATCTTCACGCCTATCACGTTCCCAGTGCTCAACAACGTCGAGGTTGCGATTGAAGGGAATCTCACCTATCCTGACAGCATTCCCATTGTGCAAGGTGTGTTTCATATTCGTCTCGTGCCATCAATCGCCGATTTTGACTTCGGTGGACAGCAATTGTCGCAGATTCAGTGAGTCCTTCGTCTCTCTTGGACTGCGGGCTCTGAAGCAGGCTGTCTTCGTGTGTAGTCTTTCCCAGGAGCATGGTACGTGTCGCGCCTCTTCTCAAGACGAACGACAGCCGACCCTGCCTTCAGGATCGTGTTTACCGGAGGACAAAATGTCACTCTCCGAGGTTCTAAGAACCCGAAGTGGGGTTGGATAGACGGACATGGACAGCCCGTGAGTTTTATCCTTTTTGGTGCTCTATCTCCATTATTCGACCTCTCCTCCTACGGCAGTGGTGGGATGCTCAACAACAAGTCAATCGGCCTCATGGCTTGACATTTGGGAACATCAACCAGGGTGTTATCCGTGATATGAAGATCTGGAAGGTAAACACTTTGCCAAGCCGGATATGAAAACAAATTATTTATGACGGGACCAGCCGGTAGCATGGAGTTTCTCAACTCGTGGCTCGTCCAATCTTCATGCATACAACAACAAAATCCTGGCTGTCTCGGACACGAACGTTAGTCATTTTTCTCTCATGAATTCGACCCCTTGGATTCAAACTGTACCTGTAGGCTTTCCCGTTCAACACGTAAGTTTTCTCATCACCATACTCGCTCATATCTTGACATTCTTCCACTCTCTGAAACAAAGTGACGGTACGTTCTCCATCAGAGTCGTTTTAACACGAGGCCGACTCTTATCTGCGCAGGCTTCTCTGCTGGTGGTACCGATATGCTCTTCGAGAACAACCACATCGAAAATGGAGACGATTGCCTGACGGTCGGGAATGGGGCGAAGAATATTGTCTTCAGGTTTGTCTTCCTTCAGTCTTCATGCCCATCCTCATCTTCAGGTTAGGCTCACGCAAATGCACACAGGAACACTTATTGCTGGGGCGGCCACGGTCTATCGATCGGTTCGCTGGGCAGAGGAGGCGCGGTCGCCGATGTCCAAAACGTTTTGTGAGTATTCCTGATACGTTTTCAACATGGTTTCCGATATTTCGTTCCCTGCAGGATCGAGAATATCGTTATGGTGCGGAAGTCTTCTTGATTCGACACCACAGGTCAGCCAGACTAATTTCCTCCTTCAGGAAAATGCGCTGTATGCGGCTAGGTTCAAGAGTTGGACGGGTGGTAATGGTTTGGCACGAAAGTGAGTCCTTCTCATTACCTGCTCTCGCCGCCTCTCTAACCTTTCTCATAAGCATTACCTGGAGGAATATCAAGTTCTCCGATGTGCCCTTCCCTGTAAGCACCCCAACGACATTCGGTTAATTTAAAGCTCTGACTCGTCATCCAAGATCTACATTACCCAAAAGTAAATCTATCTCCTACTCCGGATCTTCTCCATTTAAACCACTGTCCAGCTACTGGGACCAAGGAATCGGGCCTCGCCCGAACACTTCGAGCACGAACAACACCCAAATACAAGACTTTACCTTCGAGAACTTCGTTGGCATCGTCAGAGAGTACGTCGCCTCTCAATCGCTTCCTTGGTTTCTTTGGGCCTAATCCGCCGTTTGGTCTAGTGTTCCTTACGTAGAGGGTAGTTGCATTAGCGATCCTTGCTGGTACGCTGCCCTTCGTTGATCGTCTCGGATGGGAGACAGGTTTGATGAATCGGCCTTGTAGGTACTACGTTCCCGAAGCAACAGGGAAAGAAGTCGCCATTTTCGACCTTTACCCAGGCACTGGTACGTCGAGCCCTCTCTTTCCGTCGCCCGACTAGCTAATTTTTAGAATTTATGTCCTTAGCCAAGAACATCGTCGCGAAAAGAATATTCTCGAGGACAGAGACGGGTGCTCCGGTGGCTGTCATGTGCAATTCGACGACTGTTCGTACTTCATCTTTCCTCGTTATGAAGCATCTGATACGAATTCGAAAACCTGCAGATCGAGAACGATGTTGGCTTCGAGTGCTGGAATGGCCCGTTCGTCCGTACGAAGGCCGGACTTTAATAACCTCCAAGCTTCGCAAATTATTCTTGTAATATCGGTCTGTACCCTAATATCATCCTCTGTACATCCAACCTTCGAAACAATGTTGCGTATGATCACCTTCAAGGCTCTGAGTTGACCACGGTGCTTCTGATCCCCATCTTCACAACATACCCCTCTCTTCCGATCCTTCTCATCTCTTCAACAACCTTCCCAACTTTCTGGAACTCCTTCCACCTCTGATCTTCACCTAACTTCCCTGATCCTCTATCGCTGTTCACTAACTCCAGCGGGAGAGACTCGACGAATCTGACCTTCAAAGCTAGCCATTGCATCGCCTTGATGTTGGAAACGAACTCTTCAACGTTCGATCGCTCTCCTTGGGCATAGATGACACCTGGATAGCCGACTTTAGCGAAGCCCACGATGGAGAGGGAAGACGACCACTGCTGGAGCAGCCGCCGTTTGTTGGGGGATATGAGGTGGTGAGATGTGAAGAGGACGTGGTATATTTCGCGACCAGCGTGTGGCGGGCGTGAATCTTCTAATTCGTGAATGGGTTCTTGCCTTTTGGTCAAGGCCTCGTGCAGCAAGGGGAGGAGGTGCAACGACACGAGCTCGTACATGGGATATCTGCAATAAAATGCGGAAATTTTTAATGCTGCAAAGATACCGAACTCCGAAACGCTTACTCTGAATCCGAGACCTCCGCTTTTTTCTCCTCCACAATGTCTTGCCACCATTCTTGTTCCTTACGAGAAAGATCGTCGCCTTTTACCGAAGCCAATGGAAACGCAGCGCCGTCGACGGCGGTCCGACGACTCTGTTGTCGAGAGAATGCAACTTTGAGATAGACCTTAGCATCTTGTAGCACAATTTTGAACGAAGCAGGGTTGTCGGATTGAGCATCGCTCGTAGTGGAAGGGTCCGTGATATAATTCTCGAGGGCAGAACACCAGTACTCCTCATCCTCGAGGAAGGCTAGTTGTTCTCCTGGAAGAAGCGAGCATTGGATGAGCTGAAGCTCTGAGAGCTGGTGATTGACTCCATGGGTCATCGTTGCAACATAGCAAGTGAGCGCGACCCAAGTCGTGGTAAAGATTGAGGAACACCATGATGATGTTGAGATCGTTACAGATAAGAGCCAGAACTACTATCTTATCGTATTCTCAGCCCCTATTTTCCAATATCTAATTTCGTTCGCCTTATAATAGGCTTTTGTAGGTTCCTTATTGTGTCTCCAATAAGGTCCATAACAGGAGGCTTCCATACTTTATTCAGGTTGCTTTCAACTACGCATTTTTACTTGGTATCCGTTTCCTAAAGGGATGAAAATTTCTACACTCCGTATTCTAGGCGATAAGTGGTATCGTATCAGTCAAGTTTCCACTTAAATAGTTCCGAGCAGCCCTTCAGCCGTTCGCACACCCCTTTAACCTTGTCATCGTCCACATTGGCGACCGAGAACCGTACCCATCTCTCTTCTTCTGCCACCTGCCGTTCCAGCTCGACAGCATCCCAACCATCGACGACGGTTTCCCCACCTAGCTCCCGCTTGTCCTCGGTAAAGAACGACGCAGGGAGAGTAACAACTCCTACCTCCTCGGCAAGCCTCCGACTCACATCAAGTGCCTTCACCCGCGGGTACGGATGCCTGACAAACGCGAAATATCCGCCTTGTGCACCGACGCGCCAGCCCTCGGGTAGCCGCTCCTTGAACAGCGCGTGGCGATCGCGTAGTTGGATCGCCGTCTGTTTGATGAAGCCTCGGAGATCAGGAAGGAGCGGGGTCAAGGCGAGCTGGATCGGACGTGGGGGGCAGATTTGGAGCGTGTCGAGCACGGACTTGATTGACGAGAGAAGTTCAGGCGAGGCGACAATCGCTCCGAGACGATGGCCCGGGAGGCAGTAGGATTTGGAGAAGGAGAAGAGGTGGATGAAGGTGCTGCGCCAGTGGAATGGATTTGATGAAGAGAATAGGGTGTGCGGAGGTTCGTTTGTCGTTATGAAGTCGCGATAGGTTTCATCGATGATCAGCGCGACGTTGTTCTCTCGGGCGAGGGCGAAGAAAGAGGTGATTAGGGAGGGGGAGTACGTCGCGCCTGTTGGATTGTTCGGCGTGACAAGAACTATTGCGCGAGTCTTCGACGTGATAAGGGCTCTGCATGCTTCTACGGACGGTGTGAAGCTATCTTCGGGACGTGTTTTCAGAGGAACGGCTTTGATGCCTAGAAGATTAAGCGCCATCCTGGGAATGTGTGAGGGTTAGGCGACTGAGATAAAGTATCGGCCTCACTGATGATTGAAGTACCTTGAATTATTATTAGAAGGGTGCTGAAACTGTTAGGGAGAATGATGCACCAGGGCACGGGGAGCACGACCTCATCTCCCGCATCTGCTAGACTCATGACAGCAGCCACGAACGCGAGATTGCATCCTGAAGTCAAAGCGACATCTTCAACTTGTATATCAGCACCCTTTCCATAGGTGATCTTCATTTCGTTGGCCAGTGCAGCCCGCAAGGCAGGTTCACCGTCCCAGGACGTATAACCAAAGCTCGAGGGCGATGACGCCGCCTTTCCTAGCGCCGTTTGGACCACCTCCGGCGGAGGTATGCCAGGGACTCCTTGAGACATATCGAGCAAGGGTTTCGTCGCCGTCGGTTTATATCTCTTCGCCCATTCATATGCGCAAGGGATTCTGTAGTCACGAATTAGTCGAAGACGTAGGCAGCGGGCGACTTTTCAGCCCACAACGGGTGAGGAACGAATGTTACGGGGGCGAAATGGTCGATAATACGCCGCGAGACAGCCGATAAGTGAGAGCAGACGACATTCTAGATATTCTAGATGACAATAGGACCGCAAAGCCTCTGTAGAGCCGCATCACAATAGTAATGAATCACGATAGATCTTATCTTATCTTACGTGCAGCATACTTTCCCTTCCAACTTCCACCACAACATCATACACAACAGGATTAATCGATTCTGGTCACAAATAACGGACTTCAGGTCCTCGCCTACTATCGAAACCGTTCATGTCTCTTGATCTCGTATCTTGGACGACATATTCACACTCCTGTCCCGAATTCTCCGGCCTCGATAGCTCGTCGTTCCTTTCCCATCTAGAGTCTTTCAGCATCTCTCGTGGGATTTCCGGATCTGTTGCAACGTGAGTCCGTTTTACATCGACGCACCAAGTCTGATCCTCCTGCAAGAGGTTCGTGAAAACAGGTCGATCTTCGGATTGCAGGTTGGGCGGATCCTCCCAAAAATGTACGCTGGACAGCACGGTCATTCCTGTATTCAAATATTCAAGGGTCACTCCGAGACAGCTTGTTTTAATCAAATCCATCCTGAACACAAGCACTGGATAAGGCCACTTATAATCAGAGGGGCTTCTTGTTCACAGAAATGGAGTATGCACACCGCTTTCATCCCTTCTGAATTAAAGCCAGACTGAAGATATCAATCATCGGACGGAGGGTAGACAATCCTCGCTGGAGTTCTACGCCACGATTAGCCACCCATTGACGCTCACCTCTGCATGACATACCGTTGCATACCCTAACGATAAAGTCAACATTAAATCTGACGTTCTGCAAGGATGCGGTGGGGCCATACCGATTTCCCCTTCCAAGCAATCTGCGCCTGCATTTCGGTTAAGCCGAAAAGCAAAATTAGCTCAAGATCGACGCGGTAATACGCCTTCCCATTTCGATTTCGCCTTTTGATGGGGAGGTGCGACAAGTTGGCCGAAATGGTGCAGAGTAGGTGGTAGTTTACTGTCAGGGTGTTAGGGCCAAAACAATGAGCGACGCGTATCTCTACCATCATGGTACGGCGCCAAAGCTTACCTGGATCTTCGTCCTTCCATTCGGGATTTTCGAGCTCTCCTCTATAGCACCATACTTCTGATTCTATATGATGAAAGCAAGCCAAATTCGGGTGTTCTTCATAAAACTCTTCCTTAAACTCTGTCATTTCTGATACCTGGGTGTTCTAGCGAGTCAAGGTCAAAATCGCGGGCGGTTGGGTAAGGAATTGCGTGATACCTTGGGTAGGATCATGGTGAAATGGTTAGGTAACACGATCTCGCCTGAGGGATACGTAGTCTTCTTGTGAGCCCGTTTCAGGTGTCCTTCGTTTCGACGATCAAAGATAACTGCTCCAAAGCTTCCGAATGCGAACCTTGACATGCGCGTGCGCACGAAGTGGTTGAGATAGAATGAGATTGCTCCGTCCGAGACAGCCTTGTTGCTTCAAATGAGAGATAAGCTGCGAATTCTTAAAGCGCGGGAGGCTCCTACACATGATTCTCTGGACGAGAGATGGTTAGTCCAAGCTGGTTAACCTTGGTGCGGACTTCCTGGAAGAGCCAGTCGTTGGCGGCGAACCCACCCACGAGAACGATGTGCTGCAACTCTTCCTCAGCAACTCTTCGGAACGAGAGAAAATCCATTCACTCACCGACACGTTTGCGGAAGCCATCCAGCGTAGCTCACCTACAATATCCACTATACAAGTAGCAGAAGGACCGAAAAACCCCATGACATCTTTCCTAGACAGATAGTTGGCTTCAACTTTCGAGAGGGAACAGAGGGAGGACCGTATTACCCTGCCAATTTCAATTGACCAAATCGTATGTTGTGCTCCTGGTCGTTATCGCGCGACGATCCGAACTTAATGTACTGTGGTTCATCAGGGTGTTTGAACCGTAGCTTTGTCGTCCTATCGAAACACTGGATGATGTGATCGAGGTCCTCGATGAAGTCGGAGTCTTCCAGAAATTCTGAGAAGGAACATGAGACATTGATGCTAGTAACAACAGATCAATGTCGGAAAGTTGGAGCCATACTTTCTAGAAATATGCGCGCTTGGATGCTGACGAACACCGAACCATATAAGAAACCTGTAGCATCCTAGAGATCAGACAGAACTCAAGTGTCCTCGTGATGATGGCGCACATCTTGGAGCTGCGACTTCTTGGAATAGTCGAGTAACTTGCGAAGGATCGTGCCGATAGGTACTTATGTCAATGGTCCCTCCACCAGCATCAACAACCACGCCGTGGCCCTATCGCAATCTTGGTCCCCAAAGAATGAGATCCAAGGCAAGGAGCTCACCTTGACCACGCTTGTCAATGCGCCGCTTTCAATTGCAAAATGGAGGCTTGCTTCTCCTTCTGTAACAAAGGAAATCCTCGCATGTCCAGCAGTCGTATCAGGTATCAGTCCTGCAAGAACAGCGGCCTGGCGCATCTGTGATTGCTCCCTGCCTTCCCACCCATTCGGATGCGACAGAACAAAGTCGATGCTAGATCTGACTGAATTCCACATCCCTTGCCCGTTCGGCTCAGTATCCTGGATATAGGCTGAGGCACAATCGAAAAGATAAAGGAAGAAATCGGCAAAAATGTGGACGACGGTCTTCTTGGGTGGAAGCGGTGGTATGCGTTGGGCAATGTCCCGCATGTTGGTCACCTTTGAGCTAAGGTGGAGTTTGAACCTGAGGATGGGAATTTGGAGTTAGATCGCTGACTGAATGTTTGGAAAGGGCAGCAGGAGACCATTCGGCTTTGATCCATCCGCCATCTTCCGCCTCTTCCTCGATACCTTCTCGAATAGCTTCAGCCCCGGCTGCACGAACTTTGCCTTGCTTATCATAATACATGATGGTTGGGATTTTGGACGCTCCCATTATGTGCTCCTGAGCTGGAAACCTTCGATGAAACCGATCGTTCATCAGACCTCCTCGTTAACTGGGATAACATCCTGCACCTACCTCGTCACTCCTTTGACACTGACACTGTGACCTGGATCAAGGATGCTAATGAACGAGAGAGCGCTTAAGCGCCAAGCTGCCATCGAAACCAACCAGGACGAACCTGTACGAGATCCCACTGTAGGTTGTCCCCACATCGAAGGCAAGTACGAGCTTTCTTGAGGATTGACCATAGACTTGACGAGCAGACATGGAAGAGCAGTGGATGCTGTCTGCAGGACATCCCACGGATTCTTCTCTACGGATGCATGTACACCGCAAACTGACAAGTTAGGGCAACTTCGCTCCGACCGGGTCCCATTTGTGTTCAATCGATGTGTGTCGTAGAAAGAATGGGGCGATGTATTGGATGCGCTGAAGTTAGAGGGAATATAAGCCTAGATTTTATCAGTGAGTATGGTCCTCCTTGACAGCGTGTCAATCGAGGTCTGGTTGAAGTTAAATATCTGTGGTCAGTCAAAGCGAGCCGGGACCGGGTGCTGAAGTCAACGGTGAACACCAGTGATCAACACATCTTATCTTATCTTCTCTTAAGCCTTAATCCCCGTCATGATCTTGTGGTACATCCACGAAACTTCCAATTCTCTCTGTGGTGCCAGGGCCATGCACGTTCGATACTCCACGAGCTCGTACCTCTGGCCCTCGCACAGATCTAAACCGACCATATTCCTCCCCCAATTCCCGTCCTTGTCCATCGTCTCATACCAGACGTTCTTGTGGAATGCCATCTCTCCGATACTCCCAAAGACTCTAAGATAACTTTTCTCTTGTATCAAACGCCTATGAATGGTGTTCTTTCTTCCAATCTGACAGATTATTTAATGATGTGAAGGGATCTCATTGGTCTAATTTTCCCTCGCTCTTCGTTGTCGTCGATATCCAGCCATGAAGAGGCACGAATTGGAAATTTGCTGTATCTTCTGTAGCCTTTTCGTCAACGACTCGTCGGATCGAAAATTATCAGAGCATGACTTTATTAATCCATAATTTCAACCTGAACATCCGAATTCACGACGGACATCGGGAGGTAGATTTCATCCAAAGCTGAGGCCATCCAAAATTTATCGGGTATACAGTTGACTCCAGCCAATATATTGCCTTCAAAATAGTATCAGAATACACGTTTAACCCATTGGCGAACTGCTTGAAGGTCGACCAGGTCGTCGTTAAACATACTCAGTAGTCCTACGGTACTACCTGTCACTGCTTACTCTACCCATCATAGACCGCCTCCATGGGTCAAACTGGCGGAGCTGAGCGGTCCGATATGCATTAGGGATGCAAACACCAACACCATGGCCATTCACTGTACATGCTGTTGTCAAATTAATTCAAATCTGATACCAAATCCTCGTGCTAAAAGTCACGGTCTATCAAACAAAAGCTAAACAGCTCCGTCTTGAGCACCGGCGGTTCGAGGGTCCGAACTCTCCCACCTCTGTGGGTACCCAGTAGCCATGAAAGGTGGTCATCAAGAAGACGGAATGTTGAGCTCTGAGGCCGTTCCCAAGAAGCCTCCTGCCGGGCTCTTTACAAATGTCCTCTGCACCTTTCCTTGTCCAAATCCCAACCAACGATCAAGCTCTTGACACTTGACAGGATGATCAGCACCACAATACACACCTATCTTCAGACTTCGGACTTCCCAGTACGCGGGTTCTTCGGTTCTTCGGTTCGCTGGCCATCGCTTCGGCGTTCACTGCCACAAAGGGAAACGGACCCTACAAATATTTCTGGGGCGCGTGTCCCGTTTTGGGAATTTGACAAATGGAGGGCAGGGAGATAAGATGCAGGTGGGGATGGGGATGGAAGCTGTTGGGTCGACCGTCCCGGAGGTTAGGCCCTGAACCTGCGCAGCCGTGGAGAGATCGTGGCGCAGCAAGCGAAGGATGAATGAAAACGATGATTGGGATCTAATCTCGAGTGTGCACTGGTGTTCTCGAGTCAAGATATCGGCGCTACTCCTATCATTCCTGGCGCCGAAAGGCTATAGGATTCTATGCCGTCGGATAGGTCAAATCTAGGCGCTCATGAAGCAGAGAAGGTTAAGACGATAACGCGGGGTTCGCTCGCTCTTTCTGAATGTTCAATGGGCTTTGGCCTTCCAATATTCACGTCCATATGATCCTACTTTGAAGGAAACGCGACGGGAGCAAACGCACCCCTCTCGAAACATAACTAGAGCCACAATAACTCATCGTCCAACCTCAGGCCTCAATATTCAATGCATTATGCCAGGTGACATTTAATTCTGCACGTAGATCACAACCGCCCCACTCGTCCTTTCCATCGTACTTAGCACTACTCCATGACCACCTGCCCCTCGTTGAGTTTTAGCCTTTCCCCGCCCTGCGCAGCGCCTTTCTATACGGGTACCTATTCACGGTATCTTGCCGATTTCGAACAACCCTTCTCGTAATCTTCCTCGGTGCGCCTATCCCCACCCCACACAACGTGCCTTGCGCCACTGAATTGGAGTGGGGCTGGGGAGATGCATAATAATGAAGGGGAAATGAAGTATGAATACTTCCCGATGCCGGTTATCGTATCTCTGTTTTATTGTTAAATTCAATCGAGGACGCCGTTTCTTATCGGCCGTGTAACCTTCAATGGTGAGCGAGGAATGCGAGCACGGGATACGATCGCCACGGTCTCACCACGCACATGCGTCGACATCGTTCAGATGACCAGAGGGTTTATTGAGAATTTGACCTGTAGCGCGTCGAGGGTGCAGTGGCCCTACGCTGACAATGGTCTCGTTCGTGATAACTGGAATGCACACCGTCATGTCGAAATTCGAATGACAAACGCACTTTCATATCTAATCATCCATCGAACATTCAATTGCCAGGCCCTTTATCTCCCGACAGTTTACGACCCCTTTGAAATTCTTAAGATCTTGCATCGGAATGAAAGTGGGGCAAGTCAACATTAAAATTAGTGACCTCCCGGCCGACCGAAAGCCCTCCTCGAACGACAAGTCCGAAATCCGAAGCCGGTCTAACCCATGGGTTTGTGGCTGCGAAACGTACACGTACAACATCCATTTTCAAAAGATTTTACTCGTCGTACCCAGGCTACGTGGAATTCGAATTGTGGAGCGTGTGAACGCCTCGAAGGCTCGAACGCTAACGAGTCCGACGAGACTTTCCAAGTCCCCTTTCCTTCAAGGGTTGGCACCAACATATCGACATCAATGGGGTGCAAATGTACGCGAACAATGGGTATGCGAACAATGCGAAGAAGTACTCAAGAGAAACGGAAACAGAAACGGCTGTCTGGTGCACTCGAGGTCGTCGATGTCAGGCCTTCGAGCGAACATTCGAAAGACTTCGAATGATACTGATGGATACGTACAGTCCGTACATATGCATAATGGACGCTGGGTGGCTGGCGCTAGAGCGCGTAAGGGACACAGTACACCCCTCGCTTAGATTACTCGTAGATGACGTCGGCGTAGCGTAATCTCAAAACCCACCTACCGAAAAGCTAGAGTCGCACCAGCTCGTTCTACTATAGCTCCCCATTGAGAAGTGGGAGGCCCGAAGCTAACGATAAACTGCCCTTCAGACAAGTATAGACAGCGCCGTACGCACTTGCCACTGGAGATTAACACTCTACTCGTCCCAGTGCCAGTCCGAAGATCATCTTCGAACTAAACTCAAGAGCCGCCTTTCGCTCCGTTTTTTTCCCTTAGTCACATCCTTAAGTTTCGCACTTTGGTCGTGTACCCGTCCCGCGTACCGGCTTTCTCTCACAGGTACGCTCGCGTTGAAACATCGCGGGTGCGACCTTCGAAGCTTTGGGAAACCCGAAGCTAGCATAAACTCGAGGGTGCTCTCTTTGATCAGACAGGTATAGACCGCACCGTAGGCAGTCCTTGCGAATTCGAAGATCTTCCCACTTGAGCTTCGCGAAGACCGCTTCACACCCTCTTCAGCCCTCTTCGCAGGCGCACTTTGGTCGGCCGAGATCAGGAGAACGAAGAACAAAGCACGAGGACGAGCAACGACTGAGATTCGGATAGCAAGAAAAGACGGAGAGAAGGAGAGCTATGTATACATCGTAAGCGATACGTGGCGACATGGGATGAGTGGATGGTGTAGAGGTGGTAGGGAAGTAGATGAGCGCGTGCGTGCGTGCGTGTGCGTGTGTATGAGCGTAAGCTTGTGTGGGATGGGTAGATATGAGAGAGAAGAGAAGAGAAGTCTATGGCGGACGAGGAGAATAAGACAAAAGATAGAGATAAAGAGGAGAGAATAAAATTGCGAGCAGTGCGATGTTGAGATTAGACGAGGAATGAGTTGCATGTGTCGAGTGTCGAGATATGGAGAGAAAGAGTGGTGGTACACGAAAAGAAAAGTGAAAAGTGAAAAAGAAATAGGAGAGATAACGATATGGGTGGAAGAATGCCTTAGCACGGAGCTATCAGGTCATCCAACGTCTATGATTTTTTGGGGGGTGCGGGCGCAAGTGCAAGTTTCGTTTTTGCGTGTGTGCGGTCGCGGGCGAGGCGTGCGTTGCGGAGCGGCCGAGAATTCTTCGAGTGCCGAAGTGTGAGACAGAGAGTGAAGAGACGTCATCCAGTCATGGCGTTGCAGAAGCGTGTTGCAAAATGTGGTAGTGATATCTGGTGGTGGCGAATGGCTGGAACCATCCGCCGGTTATACATGCTATCGACGAAGTGATCCTCGCCGATGCCTCGCGCGCTGACTGGCGCTCGCGTTGTTATTGCTGGGATTGCAGTATGGTGTGGGTATGTTGTCGATGGAATCGACAGTAAAAATGTTGTTGTGGATCGTAGCACTTGCGAGGAACTGCTTGAGGTAGACTGACAGCGACGAGCCCCAACCAAGGCGACCTAGATGTTGGGTATACGGCCGACGGGCTTGGGCGGCGTGCGCAGTACTGAATACTGAGTAGCGTGTGTGGTGTGTAGTAGGATGTAGGATGACGAAGGTCCGTGTATGGCGAGCCGCGATTGTGGATGTTGTACACTTGCGAGAGGAGAGGAAACGAAATGAGGATTAAAACAGGAGAGGAGAACGATATGGAGATGAGGAGAGACGATATTGGAAGGAAAATAAGGAAAATATAGTGGAAGTCCGTATATGATGGAAGAAGATCTCAAAGAAATATTTTTTGCGGCAACAAACAAAATGAAAATGAAAGAGATTAGAGGACCGAAAGAGAAGGAAGATATCATACCCAAACCAAAAGAATTGAACCGAGAGAACAGAATAGGATGGCATAACATAACGTAAGATAACATAACGTTGACCGGGCTCGCGAGGCGAGCAAGCAAGAATGACGTCGGTGCATGAGCGGAGGCGAGCGACGGCGCAGGTCACGATGAGGATGAGACCAAAAATAGCTGGCCCAGCATCATGCATGCCTTGAAGTTTCATACAGACTGAATCTGTCTGAATCGCCTCCTCGAGCGAGCATCCTGTCACCGCGCAGGTCAACTTCCGACTACACATACATTCAAACCATCGCGAGACGTACCTCGTTCGGTTCTCCTCTTACACCACACTCAACTACCCCATCCCAACCAGACGAAGGCCTCTCTTATTTCTCAACCAACGACCAACCGCGGCCCCTCGCCCGGCGTCGCAGCGCTCGGCGTCCCCATCCCCGCCCCCATCCCCGCCCCCGTACCCGTACCCGTACCCGTACCCGTGGTGGTCGCACCCACCACCGGCCCCGGGCCCTGGGCGAAGCACCACTGGCGCACGAAAGCCTGGTACAGCGCGTCGTCGGGCTGTTTGGAGCTTAGGCTGTCTGAGCTGCCACCGACTGCGACTGCCCCATTCCCATTAGCTTGTGAGGAGAGCGCAGCAGAGGACCCGACGGGCGACGTCCGGAGCGGCGACGAAGCCCCACGTTCGCGTTCGGAAGGTAAGGGCGCGAAGACGCGTTTGGGCGAGCCGGGGTAGGGTGGTGTGCCGTTGCCATTACCTATACCACTACCGTTGCCGTTACCGCTACCGGTACTGGCGCCCACGAGACGCACGCGGTTCTGGATGGGAGAAAGTGTCCGCGGCGGCCCTTGCTGCTGCTGCTGCTGGGCTTGGGCTTGCGAAGGCCAAGGATGGCCCGCGGTCAAGGTCGAAGATAGGGAAGGGAGGAGCGTCTCAGAGGACGAGGACGAGGATACAGACGACGAAGAAGAGGAGGAATGCCCCAATCGGCCCATCGCAGCGCCGAAGGACGTCGACGTCGCCTGGCCTTGGCCCTGGAGGAGGGTCGGCCGCTTCGTCCTCTGCTGGTGCTGCGTAACCGTGCCCGTATCACTCCCACTCGCACTGCTCGACGACCCACTCCCGCTCCCACTCCCAAGGCTAAAGCTCGCCTTCTGTCCCGGTCCATGCTGGTGGTGCTGGTGGTGGCCATTCGCATTCGCATGCCCGTTCTGGTTCTGGTGGTGGTGCTGATGCCGTCTCCTCTGCGGAGGCGCAAGCGGGCCCGCACCGATGGCCGGGCCGGAGCCCGACAAGGACAGGGAGGAGGACGGGGACGGGGACGTGCTCTTTTCCTTGATATCCTCGAGCAGCGAAGCTACGGACGGCGACGGCTCCTTCTCTTCCCTCTCCTCTTCCTTCTCCTCATCCGCACTATCCACATCCTCCGCCTTCACCGGCACCCCTTCCTTCCTGCCAAACGAGCCCCAAGGCCAGTACAGCCCACTCGTTGTATGCGCCTTCGCCCTTGACGGCGGCGGCGACGAAGAGAGCGCAGAGAACGGCGGGCTCGTGCCCATCTCCGGCATCCCTGGCCCTCCGCCTCCTCCTCCAAGTCCACTGCCGATGTTCATCGCACTCGCCGGGGGCGGGCTGAGCGTAGCCGGGAAGCCACCCACCATACCCATCACCACACCTGCCGCGCGCTCGCCGAACGTGCTCCATCGCGGTGTCTCCACACCACCCTCTTGCTCCTCCACCTTTGCTCGGTGGTCGTCGTCATCAGAGGAGACAAGGACGTTAACATCCACATCATGCTTCGTCCCGCGCGTCCGGAGGTACAGCACGCGCTCGCCGTCCTCGTCGCCCTGCGTGGGCGTCTGCAAAGGCGTCGAGTCCGCGCTTGTGCTCGTGCTCGTACTCGTGATCGAGCCTGAGGAAATCGTACGACCATGCACATGTTGATGTTGCTCCTCGGAGCTGGCGGACGGTGGCGTCAACGGCGAAGGCGCTGTGCCCGACGCGGAAGTGGAGGCGGAGGCGGAGGCGGAAGGAGAGGAAGAAGCGGAAGGTGACAGCCCACTAGCGCCATACCCAGCCGGCGCCGAATAATTCCTCAAATTCAGCTTCTTCAACCGCGCAAGCGTCGTCTGGGTGAGCGCCTCGCGCTGTTTTTGCTGTTCCATCTTCTGCGCTTGCGAGATACTGCCGGAACCGGGGAAGGAGAGCGAGGATGATATTTGGGGGGGCGCGGGGTAGGGCTTGGGGGGCGAGAAGGCGGCTGTTGGTCGATGAGGGTGGGGGTGAAGAGAGGGTGGCGATGGCGATGGCGATGACGGTGAAGGTGACGATGAAGAGGAAGAGAGAGCATGGAGAGAGGTGGTCAGCAAGCGCATACACGGAGCGTAACGGTAGAGGTGAGAAAAGACGCATATCGGCGCTTCGGAGGCGCATATAACCACTGAGATGCCCATCCTAGGTCCGTCTCTCCGTCCACTACCAAGTCCAACCATCCAACCACCCTCCATCCACCCACCCAACCTTCCACCCATCCCCCATCCATCCACCCATCCACCCATCCACCCATCCACCCATCCAACCCTTCTTCCAACTCTCGTCTAACGACGCCGACCCCTCCAACCCGATCCCGATCCAAAACCCGAACTAAAACCAAAAGACTCACGAGGTGCGCTATACGCCACGTTCCTCCTATACACCTGTCCTTGTCCTGCCTTCTCCTCCTGCTTCCCACTGCCCTCCACCTTACCCACCCCCTCCGCACCCCTCTCCTCAACCTCAACCTTCCTAAACCCAACTCTATAATTCCGTCCCCCATTATTATCCCACCACTCCCCTCCCCCACTTCCTCCTCCGCCACCTCCTCCTCCATGC